TTTTCATTTGCAATCTTTGCGTTGTCTTTTTCCTATAAATACAGTTGTTGAAGTTGAATGGGTCCAAATCACATATCTTTACAAGGTTAAATAATTATACTTAGGTTTTTTTTTTTTTTTTTACTTGCAATAAACCAGTGCTTGACTGCGATCCCACCTGATGTCAAGCAGTGATGCAATCGTTGATGGTAAGGCGCACTAGTTTATTAAGAGCCTATTCACTCTAGCCTTGAAGACACCTAAGTTGTATTCGGACGGAAAGACTGCAGCCGGCAAACTGTTCCAATCCCTCGATGTACGCGGTATAAATGACGAGGCAAAACGCTTAGTCCGGGCCGCAGGTGTCTCAACAACGTAGGGGTGGATATTCGCCGTACGCCGGGATGTCCGAAGGTGAAATTGGGATGGCGGAATCAAATCGTGCAATTCCTGGGCACACTCTCCAAAATGTATCCTGTAGAAAACCGCAAGGCTGGCTACTCTGCGCCTGTGCTCGAGACTTTGAATATTGGACCCAACCAAATCTGGATCTCCAATCAGCCTCATTGCACGCCTTTCCACCGAATCCAAAGCCGCTAGGTGGCATTTCGCAGCACCAGCCCATATGTGGCTGCAGTACTCCACACACGATCGGACCTGAGGTTTATACAACATTAGAAGCTGACTCGGTGTGAAGTACCGTCGGACTTTTGCAAGAACGCCGAGTTTTCTAGCAGCTACCTTGGCTCTGGACTCAATGAACCGCCCAAAGTTGAGGTCTGAAGCAATGTCCATTCCCAAGAGCTGAAGGCGGTCTGTGCACTCCAGGGATACATCCCGAAAAGCAGGAGCCAAGGTGAACGGGCTCCTTTTGGCGGTGAATAGACACGCCTGTGTTTTGGTGGCGTTGAATGTTACCAGATTAGTTTTGCCCCACTTTGAAACTACCTGAAGTGAGACATTCGTACGCTCTACCATAGCCTCCCTTTCAGACTGGATTAGCTCCTTACTAGCCCGAGCACTGGGCAGGTATCTCTCTACAACTGTGCTATCATCTGCATACCCAAGGATACCAGGCTCTAGCAGATCATTAATGTGGAGCAGGAATAGAGTTGCAGAGAGAACAGACCCCTGAGGAACACCGGCATTAGTCGACATAGGCTCTGATGAGCATCCATCGATAACAACTCGGAGTGACCGTCCACTCAGGAAGTCTTTTACCCAGTTTATCAGTCCAGGAGAAATGCCGTACGCTGGAAGCTTAGACAAAAGGCCATCGTGCCATACCCTATCGAAGGCCTTCGACACGTCTAAGGACACGGCAATAGCTTCCCCATTCCTCTCGAGGGCCTCGCCCCACAAGTGAGTGGCATAAACTAGTAGGTCCCCAGTAGACCGGTTGCGGCGAAATCCATACTGTCGGTCGCTGAGGAGATCGTTACCTTCTAGATATGCCATGAGGCGCGAATTCAACACTCGCTCCATAATCTTGCAGAGTATGGAGGTTATCGAAATCGGCCGATAGTTGGCAGGATCGGCACGACTTCTTGGGCACGGGTTGCACGTTGGCGAGCTTCCAGGACTTTGGCACAATACCAGTCCTAAATGAGAGGCGATACAGGCGCGTCAATACAGGAGACAACTCGGGCGCACAAGCCTTGAGAACTATCGCTGGTATACCATCAGGCCCACTAGCTTTATTCACGTCTAGACGACACAGTGCTCTCAGAACTTCTTTGTTCCTTAAGCGAACTTCGGGCATCGATGTGTCGCAGATAGGTAGAGTTGGTGGAGTAGCACCACAAGTGTCAAGACGAGAATTATGGGCGAAGAGTGATGCAAAGAGACCTGCTTTCTCCCTCGCGGTATGAGCCAGTGTTCCATCAGGTTTAACCAGTGGAGGCAGGTATAAAACTAACTAACCCGGGGTTGCGGGGTAAGCGCAATGAGGCACCGCGACCTAGGCCCAGAGCAGGAGACGGAACGGGGGGAGTTTTAGTCAGTAAGAGTCTGACACTCTCTCTTGCCTTACCCTAGGAGGGAGAAGTCATTGGATGACTTTCCCCTGACAAAAAAAACTAACTACCAAAACAGAACTATGACGATATACAAAACACTACATGAAATGTAAAAACTACAGAACAATAATGAACAAATACTCTGCACATTAGAAACTAAGTGAACCATTTTTTTGAAAAATATGATAAAGTTTTCCCTATACTCAAGTTCATCAAAAATTCTAAGAAAATATTATCGGTCAACAAATAAATTTGTAATTGTTGGTATAATATCATTATCATTGAGCAATAACAAAGAGCAGGAGTGCATGTGATGATTAAAACATAGTAAGCAATTAATATAAGACCAATATGGACAGATTACGCCGACTACGTTCGCATTCATTATCTTAATTACAAATCAGGCTGCTAGGTCAGAATGGAGACAAAGACTAGTATTTACAAATGCTAATAATAAACAATAAGGAAAACATTAGGTTATAGGAACACACAATGAAATAGTTAGATGTACAACATAATTGCATCTAGTATATTTTATTGCAATCATTATGATGAGCCTAACGAATAGGGAAGTGAAAGTAACCTATGTGTGTCTTTGACGATGCTTTTCTTTCTAAAATGGCTGACTTAATAAGTATCTGTGGTTTATTGAATTCTAAAATTCAGCAAACAGTAACTTTTTTATGAAATCAGATGAATCCGTGAGACGTCCTTGTTTACAAACATAATATTGGCTACCGCGGAGTTAGTTACTTCGTCAGGTCAAAAAATCGTCTGTGCAGCACCAGTTCTTTAATAAACTTGTAATTTGTAATGAAACCATACTTTATTCGAAATTTTCTAGAAACTAGAGATAATTTGGAAATAATAAATGTCCTATAGAAAACAACTGACTGACTACCTACCTGGTAATGAGAAAAAATGTTTGGTGAACACACCTGCCGTGATTCACGGATATATGGAAGAAAGACGAATAAAAAATACATTGGTCCGGAAACACAGATGCAAGTCACGCTATTGTTCAGCTGTGCCGATGAGAGGAAGAGGCCAGCCGTCTGATCTTATACAACAACGATAAAGGATTTAAACGATATATCTAAGGCATTTGCAATTAAACTGTACATCAAAAATCTCTTTGGTAATTATGCTCCCAGTCGCATAGAGGTTCAAAAAAGGTCACGATCTCTGTGAAAAATTCTATAAAAAATCCTTATTATATCATTTCCAAGTCAGACATCGAATTGGAGCCAAGAGTGAGGATTATATAAAACCTCTTTTTAAAAGAAGTCCTTTGTTTAGCACTGGCAGTATTCCGGATCCGGGTGACAATGATCGAATTCGAGATATCAATTTGAGTAATGGCGCTTGTAGGTGACCAACAAGTCAGTCTAAATTACCATCGATCACCAACAGAAAATCTGAATCGTTTTATTATGACATCGATACAGGAAATCGTTAAAGCACCGAACGACATTATTAAGGAAATGTCAAAAGGATCATAAAATTCAGATTCGATTAGGTCATAGATTGTTACTGGTGTTAGACTTAGAACAAGTATATTACATTCATTATTATATTCTTATGTCACAGGATTGCGTGGTGGTCAGCAATCAGCATTATGTTAAAATATACGAAAACAAAAGCTCAAAAATAAGGATAGTTTGACCCTGACGGCCTGACAGTCGTTATTTTCTATTAACCTATTATCTTAGCCTATTTTTTAACTTTTATTACAGAGTATTAACTTTCGGAGTGAAGTACTATTTTAATATATAAGACTGAAAAAAAATACAAAATATTGGCCAATTATTAAGGTTCCTAGAAATAAACCTTTATTACATACCTCATCATCACCCTACAACAAAGGAATGTCCAAGTTTTTTCAGCTAAAACTTTACATGTAAACAGCATTTTACTTATACGCCTAACTACTACCATGAACCTTCTTTATGGACGAAATATATAAAACCGTTATTATAAGAGATGTAACCAAATTCATGAGAAACATAACCGTTGTTTAGGTATCGATTGTCGATACGTTTCATAGTATCATTAAACTTTCATGAGACGAAGTGGCGGTGGCAAACTGCTCTACCTCTATTATACATTTACAGTTTTGGCCAAGACGTTCATAAATATTTTAAACTATTTTCGTAACAGTATTGTAACTAATTTCAATTTCTTCGTAACCTAAAATCAGATTACTGGTGAAAATTCTGAGAAATGATTTAAACCGTATTCTTGTGATAGGATTAATATTAATTAGACGTATAAGTCGTATTGTACATAGATTTATACATTTTTACTTTAAAACATCTTGGTTTCTCAATGATTTGTAGCAGTTGTAAAATGATTTGTCAATTATTTCGACAAGTCATCCTTTTTTTACTTTCCCTTAAGCACGATGTGGTCTAAAAAGTACAGAAGCGCAATAATAAATAAGATAACCATCTACATAACTCAAAGGAGTAAGTAGCTTCATATTTTTCCCCAGCCATAATTTAACGATACATCAAAAGCGCATCGTACCTGTAGGATAAACAATTTGAACATAAAATAATTTTACGACTTCATAAAACATATACTCACTTCTTTTCGAAGTGCTGAAGCCATCTTCGTGGCCGTTGCACGTCCTGTCTTCATCATATTCGTAAACCTTGAAGCTTTCGAACGAATACAGCTTGACGGCTTTTGTTTCCTTCCTATTCGCGAATTCCTCGATAGGAAGTGATTAACAAATTGTCCGGATCAGCTAATTACAATTCGATGATCTGGTCACCACACAGTTCAAAAGTACACCAAGTCGACCCTCAAACTAAGGGGCTCTAGTTCCACAAACGACACAATGTTCACCAATAATGTCAGAGAACTTTCGTCAACTAGTTGTACCGCCCGGAGACTAAAATGTTTACAATCACGTCGATCACTTTAGTAAGATGGAAGCCCGCTTACGCACGAACTATTGTCTTATCAGAACAATGGATCCGACGAAAATGTTTAGTATCACAACAGTAACGTTCGGAATTCAGAAGAAGTTATAACTTCGCGATCGTAAGGGATACGGGAGCTCACAGTAGGGCGGGAGCGCTCGTGAGGGCGACCGCGTGTCGTCTGGCTGGGCTGCAGTGCCCCTGCCCGCCGCGCCGGCGCCCGGAACTGTGTCAGCAGACGCGGCGCCCAGAGCACCCCGGCACCCCGGCCTTTCATGAATACACCTCTCTCTATGTTTGACGCATCAATACATTCGTTGCCGTAGACTAGGCAAACTATAATTGCCGCATCAAAATGAATAAAATTATAGTGAATTAGAAATATCAAAGGTTTAATCATTATGCAAATTTATTCGAATGTTATAATGGCGAAATTAAATCTATTTGGGTCAACCAAAAACAAAGCATAACAATAACAGAATCGATGAAAACGTAATGGAACCATTTGACCCAAATAATTACCTGATAATTCCCACAAAATCATTAATAAATACAAAATATTATTCGATCAAATTCAATTTGCTTTACAAACTGTCATATTTATGATATGTCTAAACCGAACATGTTACCGAGTCCTGAAGCCGTTAAGTGAGGGACTTTTCGCGCTATTTCTCTCCCTCTTCCGTGGCTTATTATACTATTTTTAGGCTTAACCATAAATCTTCTGTCTTCATTTTAATAAGGAACTTCTTTTGAAGCAGAGTTTAATATAACTAGACAATTATACGTCAAGATATCTAACAAGGCCGAGTGAATGAGGTCTTGTAACATGAGGAATTTCTACTACCATGCGAAATACCAGATGCACATGTATTATGAACGTTAAAATCTGAAAGCTTTCTATTAGAAATCTAAACATCCACGTGTTAAGAACTAATAACTCAAACGCATAGCATTTCATAATGCTGCTGAGTAAATAACGCCAAATTAAAATTGTTATTAAATTGTTGAAATATTGTGTCTGACACGATACCTAAGCAGTCGTGCAAACTTAACAACTAACAAAAGATACCATTTCTCTTAGAATGCTTCTTAAACGCAAGGCAAAAGTAATCAGAAACCCAGTGTAACAAGATTTAAAATTATCATAAATCGTTTAGTACATTATGCAAACCATTAAATTCTCAACATAGAATACGAGGAACTAGTTGCCTTAGAGTCCTTAGACTATAACAACAACGAGTTTATTGAAGAAACATTAAATAAGTCTTCAGAACAATTTTATAGGGCAATATAATAGATCTAAAGAAATTAGATCTACAATAATTAAGCGAATGGCGTGGTAATAAAATGTAACGAGGCTTGCAAGTGGCTAGCTTTACCATAATTATTTTAATTAAACACCGATTGATTGATGTTGACAAAATGTACACTGATATGACCATAAACCATATAGAATGTAACCATAAAAAACCATGTTTTTTATTTTTTTTATTTCGGTTAGCACGATTTCTCTCAAGTCCTTTATGGTACAAAAGGACTGATTCATAGAGTATAGCGTTCTAGTGAGGACGAATGTGTCTAGTCTAGAGTAGTTGAGTGGATAAGATGAATAGCACCCTGTAATTGTACACGCAGGCCATTGTTGCCGACTAAGCACTAACAAAGACATGTCTAAGCTATTCATTGCTTATACAGACAATCCAGGATGAACGTACTCCAAAATTAAACCTTTTGATAGCCAGTAATAAGTCAATCGAAAGCATATAGCACTTACAAGTCTTTGCTACTTTATTTTTATTTCTATCCCTTACATCCTAAATGAAACTCTAGATCTACTTGGAAACCAATTTATGTTTCTGGTTGTACATAGAAGCTTTAATTACAAGAACTACACCGTACTGCTGACTGCTAAGCGAGCAGGATATAACCCAAACAAATTGGAAAGTTGCGTCCAACCAAACAGTTTGTATTATCTTACAAATATTATAAATGCGAAAGTTTAGTTAGTATAAATGTTTGGATGTTTGTTCCTCAATTACGCCAAAACGATTGGACGGATCTGGATGAAATTTTGTACAGGCATAGGATACACTCCGGAGTAGGATATAGGCTACTTTTTATTAACATACGACGCGGGCGAAGCCGCGGACGGAAGCTAGTTATAAATAAATAGCTATTTAGCTAAGCAACTGGCCCAGATTACATTACAGTGAAATATCAGAGTAATGAATTCATTTGCGAGTGAACGAGCTATATGCACACACTCGCAAAGCTCTTTCTATCTTATCAGGCTAACAGATCGACCTCTGACATTTCGAAGCGAGCAGTACAGGCCACCAACTTGGGAAATGTTATTTCGAACTGGGACAAACGCAGTGTTTACGTTGGCAAGTAAATGTCGTCTTATTTTACACATAAAGCTTATACACTTGAAATTTCAGAATCGAGCAATACATTTCATATAAATTTAACTTTTCAATCGTGGTAATCCGAGACACAATAGATTTATTAATTCACCAAACCCCAAGAGAACGCAGGCGTTTGTGTCTTATTTAACGACGATTGAAAAGTTAAAGGACAAAATCTTTCAAAAAGCATACCTAGGTTTCAATGGCATAGACCCATTTCTCAGTTTAAAATATTTAAAGAATAAATAAGATGCATACCTACATTAACTTCCGATATTGAACGATGTTACTGGTTTCGCTTATACAGTTAAGCCAGGTATTAAACGTATACCGGTTTTTAAAATAAGCAAATTTCTTAGTGCAAAACTTGTGTAGACTCTGTCCCTTAGTTGCGTGCAAGGTCGTCAAGTGTTGTGGTGACTATTATATACACGTACACCGCGGCAGGTGACTAGCGGGGGTAACCGCAACATAAAATCAGGTAAAGGAAACCATTCCCACTTCATAAATATTATTACCTCTGAATAAAGAGGACAACGATTCCATCCATCCACGAATATCTAAGTAAGTTTTACTAAGGGGGAATTAATTAAAAACGGATCAATACGAATCTTTTTTTTATTTTCTCGGGGATTCATTCTAAGATGGATAAACATTTGTTACTACAACGAAGTGAAAGATAAATAGTGACGTAAATGGAATAGGATTTAATTAATTTGTTAGTTAGTTTTTGCCGCATACGTAAAGAAAGTTCACGATCTGAGCTGCTGACCTTTCGTGCTTCGCTTTGTTAGTTTACGTTTCCTTTATATAATCGAAGTTGTAATGACGTCGGCACCTCATTAATTTGCTATAGCAGTTATTAAGTTTTCCTGATATTTTTATTAGATTCAAGATTTCGTAAATGACCTTTTTTGTAAAGCGAGATAAAGTGTCAGTCTCTTACTGACTAAAAACCCCCGTTCTTTCTCCTGCTTTAGGCCGAGGCCGCGGTGCCACATTGCGCCTACCCTGCAACCCCGGCTGAACTTCAGCCCTGTAGGGCTCCGTCTGTGGTGGTCTATTGGCTCTCTGAGCGCGCGCGGAACGCTACGCGCCGTACGCTCGGGAAATTACCTTAAATCAGTAATTGATGTTTTAAGATTTCTAGTGTACCTAAAACTTCAAAATCCAACAAATTCCCTTCACATTCCGTGAAAAAGAAAACAGTCCGTAAAATTCTGATATCCCGAGGCACCTGCCTGATATAAAATGAATGGTCGACCCTAATATACCTCGAAGTAGGTTGTAGAACTTTAACTCTCAGTAGTAAAACCCCAAATGTTCTTTACCCTCGCCTATGCTAATTTGGCACTAAAAGCCGGTCGTGATATCGAACCTAAGAGCTCTAAGATCGATATGTCGGGAATAGACACGCGACGCGAATCAAATGGCCACCTTGACCCGGTTACCGCCAAATGTTACCCTCGCTCATACGGTTTTGTTAACAATGACGCGACTAATGCGACTAAGGAGTTCGTAGCTGTTTTTTTCACCTGCCGATCACTTGTCGATGGTAAGGTGACATTGTAAGGCTATTGTCTGACACTTATTTGTTTACAGTACTGCTGCACGTGATATATTTGTATGGTGCTAAAAGCCATTGACCAAATTTCTCAATGTTTATTTTTTACTGAAAATTTATGAGGCATATTAATTTGACTCATCTGCTATAAATTGCTAATTTTTCAATGTAACTTTGACAAAAGAATTTAACTGAAGCATTTATTCATAAATTATATCAGTTTTATTCCTGCTTTATATATAAAAATTTAAGTAAATACATCGGGAACATTATTAACGTCTATTTTTAAACAGATCAGATTTGTGGTTTTCCTAGTGATGTTACTAAAGTTTCATAATATTAAATGTTAAATCAATTTTATTTTATATACTTATAAGTTATACTTACTACATTTATTTACAAGTTATTAATTCAAAATCTTTTTCCTTTTAAGATATTTATACCTATTCTGTTTCGATACACCAAGTAGATTATTAACAATTTATTATTAATATTAATGAGAATTAAAAAAATATTATTGTAAAATTGTTGGAGCTTTTACATAAAGACTAAGGTCCTGTTTTAAAACCGTTGAGTATAATTTGATGTATCTTCCACATCTAATATGGTAACTAAGCTAACATTTAGAAGCAGCGGTGAAAAAAATCAACAACATTAACATAATGTAAAAATCTCTGTGATCTAACAAACAAGTATAAATATAATAGTTGTTTGCCTACAGACCGCCAATAATTTTTTGTCTTTTTAGTGAAGCTACCGAGTACAAAATGTGGTTTGCAAATGTTAATGTTTAACTATTAATTCAATACTTCAATACTTAATTCTTTAAGGCAGGTAGCAAGGTATGTTTGAGAAGTACTTAGCTACTTAATTCATTCTCTATCTGGTTAGACTTTCCTTTATGGACCGTCGATTTTGGGGTCAAAATGGGGGGAGGGGGGAGGGGGAGGGTGAGGACTACCCCCCAGGCCCATCCCCACCCCGCGGAGCCCTATGGTTACGGAGATATCCATGGTCAAAGTTTGTTAAAATTTTGAGGTTAGGAAAGATTTTTCGGATAGTTTGTATGTATGTATGTATAACTTTAGAATCGTACCGCAGTGGGGAGGATGCCCCCTTCCCCCAGTACCACTCCCATGACAAGGCAACGCACAGTTGCCGAGAAACACGATTTTTTATAACCTTACCTCAAAACACAAAAAGTCACTTAATAGGCAAAGTCGACGCGGGCTCCTACTTCTGGGTGGTTTGCAACATGCAGCAGGCATGGCTTCTGTCACGGCTCCGGCGCTGCGGGGCTCCGGCGGTCCCACGCGAGCTAATCGTCGCAGATGGTTTTACGCCCATCACCGCGGCTTCGGCTTGCTGGCCGGCTTCGCCGGCCAGCCTCAGCCACGGCGATGTGCGTTATAACCACCTGCTCCTCAGCTCGCGGGCCGCCCCGCCCCTCCGCGCCTTCGCGAATTTAAAAAACACTCTCGGGGTAGGGCAGAAAAGAGACCACGTAAAGTCGGTTTCGCAGCAATTCATTTCTGTCACTAACTTTTGTAGCACATTAAAACATTATGCCAAAAGACAATGTATTAATTATTTCAATATAACCTATATTCAATAGGAATACTCCCAAAAAAAAAAAAAAAAGAAGTCAACAACACGCGAAACGTCAAATTTGGCGTGAATTTTTCAATAGACTTTACAATTTTTAAATAATTATATCTCGTAAACCGTGAGTTTCCGCAACATAAAAATTTGTAAAAAGCCTTCTGTTAATGTGTACTATCTACAAAAAAAAAATGAACGCTCAACTCGACGGTCCATAAAGGAAAGTCTAGCCTATGAATCGGACGTTAATCGCGTGCGTTACATTTTGAAAGTCTAGTGCTTCAAGAAGAATGACTAGTAATAATAATAACTAGGACAAGATGATTGACAAGCTTACCTTGTACAATACTAATACATCAAATTTACTTTTTTAAGCCACAATTACTTTCGATAAAACACTTTACACAGTAATTACTTACATATGTTTCTATTTCGACAATTTGAAACATTAACAAACTTGAAAAGTATCCTCAAACTTTTAACATAAACAAAAAACAATGGCATTAACCTGCAGCTACACCATCCGCACGAAGGAATCTTGAGGTATGGTTGTACTTATTAACTGATCTAACTTTCTAGTTCTAACTTATTATAAACAGTAAAATTATATTAGCAAATTATGAAAGCACTTGTGACAACCAAACTTACCATCTTTGACGTTCTTCGAAGATTGTGACGATGACACACCGGGAATAGTTTTATCGGTAGCACAGTACATTATAATTATTTGCACACTATTGTGTTAAAAAGTCACTCTCACCTAATAAAATTGTACATATTATTATCAGGACGATTTGATAACACAATCCATTCGCACTAACGCGAAACGCGGCGGCCATTCCACATTCCGGTTGTAAATAGGGGTGGACGATATACATCGATGTTTTAAAAACACTCGATGTATTGTATCGATGCATCGTATTGAACCGATGTATTGTTAATACTTCAACATCGAATACATATCGATGTTTTTCATTCGATACATCGAATACGCAAATGGGGATCCACACTGCGTATTTATCCCGTCAGATGGCGCATCGTCGATGGTTTGACTGACAACTGTCAATTTCATACATAATGGTGATTCTCAATCAGAATTATTAGGTTTTTTCTAATATGCCACTGTGTTAAGTACCAGGCTGTTTTAATCGTGGTAATCATCTTTTTCCAAAAGCTCCAGCATTGAAAAAAAGAAAGTGAGAAAGAGCTACAAAAATTATAACCTTTGTATCAACAGTTGATTCAAGTCTGTGCAAAAAACATTTTAAAGACACGGATTATCACGGAAAATCTGCTATTATAGGATTGTAGAACTACCGAACTACCGATTCTGACAAGTCCGATAAAAATGAAGAAGCATTTTCATTGTGGACTGATCACCATAAGTTAGTGCATCATAACTGGAAAATTAACAAATCTGAAAATGTTTTGTCTGACGAACTTTCAGTTTATCTCAGAACTCCTGTTGGAAGACTGAACGAAAATCCATTAGAAATCTGGAGAGATTATAAAATACAATTCCCGAAGCTGTATAAAATAGCTTTTAAGTATTTAACAATAGTTGGCACGTCAGTCCCTTCTGAAAGACTTTTTTCACAGGCAGGGCTGGTTATGACGGAACAAAGAAACCGGTTAAAGGGAAAGAGATTAAACAAACTGTTGTTTTTACATAGCATTGAAAAAAAATATTGGAATTTATAAAGAGAAAAATGTGTTGGCTCTGTGATTTTAAATTTAAATACATATGTTTTCTGATTTTCTTAATACATGTTTTTGTTTTAATTAATGCCTAACCTAAAACAATCGATGTTTAAGAAACATCGATGTATTTCTCAATACATCGGATTACCATCGATGTAACTAAACGATGCATTACATCGAAAAAAACATCGATGTATTTTTTTAATGTCCATCCCTAGTTGTAAATATTCGTGTCATAGACAAAACTTAAAAAAACATCTTCAGGCAAAGACAGCCGTCACAATATTTTTTTAAATGAAATACAATAATATACTAATAAATAAATGAAAAGAACTTATAATATAACGACAGGATTGCTCCGAAGTAGTTGTGTTTACTATCATATTACAATTATTAAAAACCGAAGCACAAAAATCCAATTTTTCCGTAGTGTTTTGGTATTTGGTCACATCAAAGTCAGCTGTCAAAGCTTAGATTATGAAATGTCAACACTGTCAAACAAATCGTTTCCACTGAATTTTCAGTAGTTCAGTTAGAGAATTTTTAATTTATCGGTAGCTAACAGTGAAATTACTTTTCATTTTCCAGTAACATGATGCAACATCAGTACTGGGTAACAAAAAAGACTGTGCTAAAAAAACTAGGAACCAAAGAAGATGAGTGTATTGTTGCGTCCGACGCCGAGCTTGATGCCAAACTGGAATTATTTCGATCAATATCAGACAGCTGCTTACAATTACAGCGAGTATTGGACCAATATCAGGAGCGATTGTGTATTTTGGCTCAAGAGGAAAATGCATTAGGAAAGTTCTTGCGAGATGCAGGGAAAAATGCGGATGCATCGGGTAAACACATGGTGTCGGCTGGAAAAGCTATTTCATATTCTGGTCAGCAGCGCTTATCGGTGAGGGGGCCGCTCTTGAGGCTTTATCATGAAGTAGAAACGTTTCGAGGTCGCGCTGTAAGCGATATGCGGGCGACTGTGTCAGCTATGGAAAAAGCCCGAATTGAGTACCGTGCTGCTCTCAGCTGGATGAAATCGACAAGCGCACAGTTAGATCCCGATACTGGACGCGGCCTTGACAACTTCCGAAAGGCACAACGACAAGTACGCGAAAGCAAAAAGCTGTTTGATAAACTCACTCTGGATGTTTTGCAAAAAGTATGATTTATTTATGAATCTTATTATAATATCATGATAATTCTTATATTTTAGCTGTCTTTCTGTTGGTAGTAATAAAATTAAAAATATACCAATTTCCAGATTGATCTCTTAGCTGCAGCACGATGTAACATGTTTTCTCATGTACTTTCCAACTACCAAGGATCCTTCATAACTTTTGCTACAAAAGTAGCACAAACTTTAACAGCTACTGCAGACACTATGAATGCTACTCCACAGTATGAGTTTTCCATCTTGAAGGAGCTGTCTCAGACATTGGGTGAGAGTGAAAGTAAGCAGGAGGTTACACCACAGGACAAAGATCAGATGCTTTTCTTTCAAGTAAGAATACAAGTTATAATTATAAAATTATTTTCTAACAAATACTGCCTCAAAAGTTACATAACAACATTAATAATTTTGTAGGGATATATAATATTGTAAGATCTTTATAATTACACAAAATTCTGGGTAGCTTTTCAATAATAACATATTTTATTCAGGATGAATTTAAAGATGATAATCCAGAGACCAGTGAAAAGTCTAAAACAGACAACGAAAATGGCAAACAACCGTCCAACGAGGGAGATGTGAAGCCTAGTACTTCAGTAAATCTTATTGATACCAGCTACTTGGAATCAGAGTCGTCAAGCGGAAATGCTGGTATACTTTCGGAATTAGCTGGCCTACAGTTGGATTGTGGTGACACTCGGGGTGATTTTGGAAACTTTTTGCCTTCACAATTGTTACAGGTAAAGTTATTAATATAAAATTTAAAATCGTTTTAATTCTAAGTATTAAAATTCATGATCATCATCATCATCATCATCATCTGCCTGTTGTCGTCCACTGCTGGACATAGGCCTCCCCAATTGCACGCCACTGAGCTTGATGTTCAGGTCTTCTCATCCAACCACTGCCAGCCAACCTGCGGATGTCGTCAGTCCACCTAGCTGGAGGGCGCCCTACACTATGTTTGCCTAGACATGGTCTCCACTCTAGAACAAGTTTAAAATTACATAAATAATATTCTTCTACATCATACATGCCTGCCATAAAGACTTTAAATTCCTATTTGAACTTTAATCATTATCTCAAATGTAACTCAACAGCAAATAACATTACTTAGGTTATTTGCTGTAAAACTAACATGGATAGATAGTTAATTTAAATGGTATATTTCTATTTCAGAACTCGTCCAGCTTACTCCAAGGACCAATGACTCCTTTGAGCAGCAACAATAATCAGGCAGTGAAATCAGTACAAACTTCCAAACCTGCACCAAGTTCAGTTTTTCCGAAAAAGGATGACAAAGCAGCTTGGTTCAAACTTTTTGCTGAACTGGATCCTTTGGCTAATCCTGATAACCTTCCAGGTTCTAACACCAACCAAAGCCATGCAGCCTAATGCAATTTACGTTATTTTCTAGAGAAAGAGCTTAGATTAGGTTGAAACCATAATTTACATTAACCAACACAATGGTCTACTTTCTGGCATTGTTAACTAATTTTGGGCACTACACCTCGGGCAGTGAACAGGCATTCCTCAAACATCTATGGGAAAAAGTAGGCTTGAGTTGGTATAAACTTTTTTGAGGTGACAAAAGTTGTCTTTTTTATTATAACTTTTGTGAGACATCCTAAATTAATTAATATGTTTTCGGCTTACTCACGTAATAATTTGACGACATACTCGACTAGTTTCAAGCCATGCTAGAGGCCCGTATTTATGAGCAGTTTTCCGCGACACGCGATTCGGTGAATGTCGCGCTGTTACTACACTAGTCAAGTATCTCGTCAAATGATTACGTGAGTAAGCCGAAAACATAATAATTAAAACTTGTCTTGTTCAAACCATTGAAATATGTAGTATCTTATTTTCAATGCATCACCCAAACACCTAAAGTTATGTTAATCTGAAATATGTAGGCATATTATTGAGGAAGTAAAAGAAATTATGAATGTCTATGGTTATTGTGTTATCTAATGCTCTGGACACCATACTATCCATAAATGCTTTAATGGTTAATTTCATAGTTAGAAATGATCCATACCTATCCATGGTGATAATAAGTGATGTAACAGGAAAGTTAATGTATAGGAGAGTTAAAAAATGTAATAACATATTTGGTTTTAGGAAATTACTTGGATTAGTACAATTAATGTATTACTATGCTCATTAGCTTACAATATTTATAACCATGTATTTTATGTACATTTTATATATTGTACACTGCTCTACTAGGTATACTTACTGTGACTCTGATATAAATTATCAGTTTATATGACAAATAAAACCTAAATAAATTGAATTTTGAGATCCCCGTACTATTATGGGTTTAATGTCGCATACATAAATATGTCGTCAATCATGCGGGCGGTCCGTACGATCCGACAAAATAGCGACACGTTTAATTTGACAATTTATCATTCATAGTATTTAAATTGTATAACTTTTGTGTGATGGGATAATTGTTTGAATATTTAGCTAGTTCTAAAGTATTATAATGAAAGTACTTAATTTTATCACCAAAGATTTATGTAATTTATATGTTTAATATGTTTATGTTGCTGTTATTTCAATTAATGATTTTATTGTGTTAAACTATATCGAACAAAAATGTTTACATTCCAAATATTGTGATAATCAATGCAATTATTTTTGCATATGAGTGTTATTGTTTTTTTTTTCAGCCATCGTTTTTAAAAAACAAAATGTTAAAAAAGTTATTGGACAATAAAGTAAAAGTCACACATAGATGTGTCATTAAAGGCTAATTTTTCAATAGTTAAAATTTACCTGATGATGCTGTCGCGTTAGAACATATTTTGTATAAGACAGTGACAGTGTGTTTATTCCTCAGATAACATTTGTCTATTGAAAAATCAGCCCTAAATAGATCAAACATTATTATTCTGTGAATAAAATAAAAACAACAAAAATGTGTAAAGTAACAGTGTTATATGTTTTTGTAAGTCTGTACACATTAATATATCTAGTCAAATTGGATCTTATGCTTATAAAAAGAATTTTACCAAAAATTTATATGCTTTTATATCCTTACAATTAGATTTTTAGGTTTAGGATATTGTTTATTTACGTTTTAGTGTTATGTGCATTCCATTTTTAATCTTAATTAAAACTAAATGTACTTATTAAAGTTTGTTTCATTTTTGAGATGACATTACTTTGTGTACCTATTTTTGATCTAGCGAATAATAGGCCTGCCTCTGTTATAACACCTTTTTGCCCTCATAAGGATTCAAATCCAAAACTATTCAATCGAATATTTCTGTATTCTTGTGTGAATTCGACATTCGTCAGGATCATTACTTTTTTTAGAATGCCTTAAAAGAATAAAAATTCTTGTGAGGCGGCGTTGTTGACAATCGATTGTCAACAGGTGTAGCGGGTCCGCTACACCTTGAGAGGCTTTGGGTTGTTAGGAATTTGAGGATTGGAGAAAGGACTACAACTCAAACTTTATATTTTTGTCATCTCCGATTATCTCGTCAAACGATTAGGCAAAAAACTGTTTTTATTTCGTAATTGGCCGCAACAGGCATTTTGCCTGGTGGTAAGCGATGATGCGACGTACAACCTACGTCCTAGCATGCTTACCTATAAGCAACTTATTCATTCGGGCCCTGAAGACCCAAGTTCTATCCTTCGGGGAACACTGCGTCTGGCAAAGAATTCCACTCCGTAACGAATTCTAATTCTGAAACAGGAGAGAGGACAGAACTGCTTCATGCGCGTGTGTGGGATATCCACCATGAATCACCATTTTGCCGAATGCCGCTTGTCAGGTGGTACGATGGTGTGTAGCTCCCCCGAACACTCGATAAGGCATGTGTTTGGGTCTTTAAATTAGGGCCTCCACTACCACATCGCATCATACATTTTATAATAAACTGAATTCTTTTAGTAATCGTGTAGTAATGTGGAGGCATACAATATTTTCAGTAGTACCGTTTTTCTCTTCGTTGAATACAAGTATACTATTCTGAACGTAGCAGAATTCGAAGAAGAGTATTGACATTTGTCAATGTCATTATTTTGCATATGCCATGTCAGTGATCAGTTTAGTTGTCATTTGTCAATAGGACAAATCGGATGTCGAATGTCGTATTTTAGATAATAGTCCGAGATTTGTTTGGGTTGTGCAATAAATAAAATTAACAATTCGACTTTAAGACTGTTTAAAAAAAAGGAGCAAAATTATATCCTACATAATGTTGAATTCAAGTAAGTCCCTATTTTCATCTTAACTTATTTGAATTGCATCCTGTGTAATCTATTCGTAAATATTATTGGGAAAATGAAATTTATTTATGTGATTTTCTTAGTTTTTCGTGGCCTTTTGGGCACGGAAGAGGCTCCAACGAAAGTGATAGAGGTGCGGTCGGATAACTACATTTCAAGGCCAATTCATTATCGTGAAGATTCGATCCTATTGTATGGGCCAAAAAGTCCTACCGACGGCAAGAACACGAAGGACAAATACTTTGAAATAGTACTTCACAAGCCTTTTACTGAGAGCTTACATCAGATGTACAGGTATGATGTTATATATATGGGTTTGACTCATTCTTTTAATGTTAATTGCCAATTGTTTTCTACAATATTGGCCAAGACGACTTCTAAATGTAATTCTTATTTAAATAAAACTATGTGCTGCTACTGAAGATAAAATATTAGTAACACTAACTGCATATAAATGGGAATTATTAAAAATGCAAATAAATTTATTTTTTTATTTCATGGTAAATTATTATAGGTACCTAATTGAAATCCATATTTTCAAATAAATAATAATTATTTACTTCAGCCTTAACCAATTCTAGTTAGCACAGAAACACTTAACTTAATGTAATAAAAATAAAATGTGATGTCAGAATGAGAAAACTCTTACATCATCATCTATATATCTTTTTGTAATTTTTTTTAAGTATATTTAATAACATTTGTCTAATCAGATCATTGATAAATACAGTAATAACTTTTTGATTGAAATTTTAAATTTCATACTTATAGGTATATCTGTTTATTAAGAAGATATATATAATTTTTATTCTGTATCCTTATAGCTATCATTGGTATAAAGATTATGATAGCAATACACAAGTAAAAATGAAGAACATAAAATTGAATTTATTGTTAATTTTATATCATGGTCATTAAATAATTATTTAAATTATTTTTCTCATATTTATATCTTCTCTTCATATTTATTTTTCTTTAAATACCTAATACCTATATACTAATAAATTTATGTGTATGTCTTATGTTTCACTCTGTATACTAATAGAATTTATAAAATTTTGTGACACATAGATTTACTAATAAATTTCATACAAAATATGTTTATCATTAGTAATCAGTTATAATTATATAATTATATTGAAAATACATTCAGTGTGTTAATATTTCTTTTCTTTTTCCAGTTTATGTCGGGCTAAAACATTAGAAGAAGCAGAGGAGAAATTCATAGTTTATAAAGAAAGAATACCAATATTTATTAAGATCACCAAAGAAGTAAGTTTTGTGTAATTTATATTATTGTAAATGTCATAAACACACATTATTTATTAGAAAAAATATATAATTGGCACAGTAAATAGAAAAATTCATCCCTATCACTGAACTGGTTGTACTTAAAGAATTAAATCACATAAAATATATCAAAAATCTATCTTTATTAATGTTTCGTTTTTTTTATTTGTTTATTGAATATTGTGTAATAGTACAATGGCGGATATAACGCCAGAGAATACCTCTAGTCTACTAACAAAATACCAGTGACATTTCTGATAGTCTATCTTAGGGTGATATAGAGACAGGTCATGGTATGTGCAGCAGCCAAAAGACCTAAAGGATAGTTGATACCCAAAAATAAATTTAATATTCTTATAAATATGAATAATTATATTTATCTAATATATACAAATCAATGCCACTTTTTGTTGTAATGTTATTATTCAACAATGCCTTTACCAATTTGGCTAATTTTGGGCTTGAATTATACGTGGATGGATTGTTCGTAAAGAAAATTTTAAAAATATTTTGTAAAATCTACATCTTACCTGAGGGAGCCGCGGGCGACCGCTAGTTTTATAATAATAGGTATTACAATAAAACACAAATTTTGAATGAACTAATTTAATATTTTAATTCACAGTGCACAGTGGCGATTCTGCAAAAACTATGTGACATTTTATCACAGCACCAATCATGGACTATTGCTCACATGATGGCTCACTTTGGCTTGAGTGAACAGTTCAATGACCCTGAAGTTCAGAAACATATTGACGATGTTGATCCCTTGACTGGAGCCACACCTTTGATGGTATGTTTTGTTCATTTGAAATAAAATGTTTTCTTTCTGTATTGATGAAACTCTTATTATATATAAATTAATGCCACTTCTCGTTGAAATGTTATAACTCAACTATGCCGTTACCAATTTGGCTTATTTTGGTCTTGAATTATTCGTGGAAATCCAGAAGAGGTTTGTACATAGATACAATAAAAAAATCTTGAAAAAATGTAAAATCGATATGCACACGGGCGGAGCCGGGGCGACCGCTAGTTATCATATACATATTATATCTTTACCTACATCACCATTTGGTAATGCATAACTATGATCCAAGGAAAACAAAAATACTTGTATTTGTTCAAAATGTTTTTTCTTCTTTTTACACTAATTAGTTAAATATACAGAGGAAAAGTCTTAACTTTTTATTAGACGTTTATGGCACCTTTTCGGAACCTGGCGCCTTTTCGGAACCTGGCGCCCATTTATTTGCCTAGTTTGCCTTAAAGAAAATATGGCTCTGGACAATAGGCAAATTCAATTAAAAAAGTTAGTTTAATTCCATTGATGTGGGAAAAAAACTCCTTAATTCCTTTTAATTTTCATGTGACTAATTGATGGCAAAGGGCTGAGTAATTGAAATTATTGCAAGTCATTGTTAACGTTTCCATATATCCAGGCCATAGACTATAACCACTAAGGAGGTTTCCATAGCTAAAAACACTACAAAGGTTAAAACCTTTAAAACCTTTTCTTAGAAATCAATTCTAAATTCTAAAACCTTTTCTTAGAAATCAATTTAACTTGTGTGAAATGGGATTTCATATGACTAATTTAACATAGTATGCATAAACTTACTATGTAGTTCCCATATATATGTATATGTATTATGTCTATTATACTTCTTGGTAATTATTTCCTTCGTGTTCAAAGGTCAAGTATAGCAGTGATTCAATGATTAACTAACTATCTGTGAAGATAACTCTACTGCAATTACTAGATTACTAATGAGAAAAACTCAATGCGTAATTTGTTGTAGATACATTTCATTTGTTGACAATTACATGCGATTCCCTATCACAGTTTCTCAAATCTCTCCCTTGAGTAGTTGATGGGATTTGTTATATAGAATCAATCGACTATTAAATTTTTTGGACTAGCCTTTGTCCGCGACTCCTTTCGCGTGGAATAGTGACTCTGCAGATTTTTGGTATAAAAACTATCATATGTCCTTTCTCGAGTTCCACACTATGTCTGTACCAAATTTCACAGAGATCGGCCCAGTAGTTTAAGCGTGAAGAAAAGACAGACAGACAGACAGAGTTACTTTCGAATTCATAATATTAGTTTGGATTACTACGTATTTAAATTCAGGTCATTTTAGGTTGTAGATTCCTTTAAACAGTGTATTTATTCTACTTATATGAAATATTAGAAAAAAATCATTAAACCTAATAAGTATAACAAAATTACAAGAGGGAAACTCCCTAAAAATATTTTGTTACTTATTGTATTTGCGATGTCACGTCTAGCAAATGATATTACAACTTGATTCATCGCCAAGTGTAACTAGGTTAGTGACATATACGTACGTACGTACATCAAGTATATATGTATACAGCGTATATCTATAGCTACATAGAATGTAGGCGTCACGTTTGTGATTTCAGAGTAAACAGAGATATCGATGATACGAGTCACTCTAGCTAATATTTATTTATGTTTTCTTATGTTTATACATTATGTATAAATTCTAGATATTCTATCCATCCGGGGTTACATTTAATGTAGGTACCCCGGCTCCGGCCCATAGCAGGAGAGGGAACGCCAGTAAAAGAGTCTGATATTCCCCCTCAGGGCGGGGAAGTCATTTGATGATTTCCCATTCTAAAACAGTCCTTGCTGGCTAGTTTAATAACTTTTTAAGTGTTGGAGAGCCATGCTTCGGCTCGAATGGGAAGGTTCGACCGGAGTAAAACAACCACAGCGTTCTGTTTCGCTGTGTAAATGAGATATACGGAGGCCCAATCCTCCTCCTCCCCCAATCTCAACATCTCCAAATCCCTAATCCCCAAATGGATGGCAACGCACTCGGAGCTTCTCCGTTGTTGTGGGTGTCCATGGGCGGCGCCGATTGCTTACCATCAGGTACTCGTAATACGTCTGCTCGTTTGCCAACCTATCAAATAAAAACAATTTCCTCATTAAATGTGTTTTATTGCATTCGTAATTATCTTGATAACCTTTAAGTAAACTGCATGTATTTTGCTTCTAATTTATTGAACTGATAATGTGAAGTAGGTATCTACCTGGATGACGCATGCGTGGTATCTTTTTTTGTAAATTAAAAAGGGGTTTAGGACGAAAATGGGGCTAGCTTGATCAATTTTTTTCTACTTTTCATTTTTTACAAAAGTCGCCGTAATCGTTATAGCCGTTTCCGAGATAATATGAATTTGTATAAGTACCTACAGCCAGGGGTCAAAAATGCAATTGCATTCTACCAATTTTAAAATGACCAAATTACTTTGTAGAATAGAGTCAATGGTTGAGGACTGCTTTAATTTATAGCATAATAAACTGGCTGTGAACCATTGAACTTTTACAAAGAGATTTTAGTTATTTTAAAATTGGTAGAGCGTAATTGCATTTTTGGACCCCTGACTGTACATACTATATACCTACATATATACTTACATCTGTTTAATTGTTCGTTGGAAGGTACTAGATTACTTAACAAATACTTGCAAAGACCATTTCTGTAAAACACGACTTTTTTGCGGAAAATGAGCGTCCCAAAATACTTAATCTGTTTTTAATTATAATTATATGATTTGCGTGACTTAAGTCGTTGCTGTGTTACACAATTACTCTGAGCGATTTTTCCATAGGTAATTAGTTTTTTTTTAATACGTCACTTATTTGTGGGACTTCTATCTTCCGCAGTGGGCGTCTCGAGGCTCCTAATAATCTGATGACGTGCATTAAAATATAAAACAACTGTACCAACTAAATTAAGTGTCCATAAGTATGGGTAATGATTATGAATAAATAAATAAAATAACATTCTTACTGAACAAGTAAATAATTATGCTAATCATGTCTATAAGTACACGCATTTATAACTTTACGTTTTTCTGTATAGCACGCAATTTCTACTAAAGAAATCAAATCTTCATTATGTGGTAAGCAACCGGCGCCGCCCATGGGCACCCGCACCTCCAAAGGATTTGTGGATTAGTTGGGGATAAGGATTTTTTTAGGGATTGGAGGAGGGAAAGGATTGGGCCTCCGGTAACCTCACTCACACGTCGAAACACAACACTGTGGTTGTTTCACGCCGGTTTTCTGTGAGGCCGTGGGATTACTCCGATCGAGCTGTACCATTCGTGCCAAAGCATGGCTCTCGCACACTTAATAATATTAGAAGGTGTTTATTTTATGAATTGTAAAACTGATTGAAAATGAGTAACCATGGAGTTTCTTGCTCGTTCTTCTCCATAGGAATCTACAATTTGAAACGAGCAAATGGCTTTACTAGAGACGCTAAAAGTTAAAGCTCTTGAAATACCAAATTTTTTTGCTTGACGTTCAAAAGTGCCCACTGTGGTCTAATTGAAATAAATGATTTTGACTTTATGTTATCCATCCTCATCCAATAATTGTAGGGTTTAAACTTATCCTCTGTTTCAGGTGGCTGTAAAATCATGCAATGTGCGCATGGTTCAGAGTCTGGTGTCGTTGCAATGCTCTCTAGATGTCATCGACCTTGAAGGCAACACTGTTTTCCACTACGCAGCTGCTAGCAACAAAGAAATTATTAACGTGAGTTATTGATTTTTCTATAATTACATTCCTAATCTAAATATTTAAAATTCAACGTCTATTCAATTTGATTCTTTATTTCTATGCAGTATGGGTTAGGTTTGTTTGCAAACTAAATGTGTTTTCCGCTCTTTTTAATAGTTGTTAGTTGTCTAACTGTCTGTCAAAATGTTCTCTTTGGCTCTGCGTTCGAAATCTAGTTATTTCAGATGCAATAAAAATAAGTTGAACATAATTCACATGCTTTAGTGTTATTTTTCTTTGCTTTCTAGTTATGTTTGTCTAGAAGTGTAATGATATGTTCAACCAAGTACGGATTGTCTTTTGATGAGCATAAGCTTTCATTTTTAACGTCTTTTTTTCTGCACTTACCTCAAAATTACTTGAACAGAAATCAATAAAATAATTTTGATTTTTTGATCGTGTTAATCATTTCCTTATCAACACGGCGAAGCAGATGCGTATTCCCAATCGAGTAACCTACGAATTGCCATATTTATATTGCTTTTTTTAAGAATATATAATCGATCATATTATTTATCAGTCAACTAAATAAATAAGACGTCATGAATAAAGGTCCCGGTGTGACTTGAAACTAGTAGAGCTTTGCTAGACATAATTCATTCAAGACGTTATTTTTAGTAAATTCAGCCTTGTCTTGTATTGCGATAGTTACTCTACATAAAAATCAAATCGGTTACTTAATGTTTTTTAAAGTTTTTCCAAAGACCAATGAAGCATTTAAATATGTATACTTATATTAATATAATCATAATTATGCGGAAAAACTTCCATATGTTAATGTATCGAAATTATATACCGAGCGCTGTTCCTCTCTCCTACTTTTACTTACGTTTGCTGTGCCTGACAGGGTTCATAGTGATTCTGCTATATTTTTATTTATAAGACCTAATGTACACTATGGAACGCAATAAAGTATTGAGTATTGAGTAAATTTCTACGTAGATGTCCATTTTTGGTAATTTCCTATATACTTACCTACCTAATATACAGTTATTTACGTAAGTATGTAAATAAGTAACTTTTAATAACGACACCTACCTGAAAATCTTTTCCGTCATTATGATATCAAACTTTTTGCATTGAAAAGTATAACAAAAGGTTAAGTTGTACTTTATGGGAAGAATAACATAAAATGCTTAAGTATTATATGTACAACAAAGTATGTGTTAAACGAAGAATAATTATACTTTCTTATTGTATTTAACAATTGACAATGAGTTTAATCATCCTGCCGCTTCCTACCCACGACATCGTATGTAAACCTTAATAAATTATATACTTAAAACTTCCTCTTGAATCATTCTATCTATTAAATAAAACGCATCAAAATCTGTCACATAGTTTTAAAGATCTAAATAAACACAGGGCTTTGCATGTAGTGATAGGAGCTACTCGTATTAATCTTCTTTTTATATATGTATATAAATGAATTCAGTTCATTAGTCTCGCTAAAACTCGAGAACGGCTAGTACGTTTTGAAAAATTTTCGTCTTGAAATATTAGTGAAAGTTCGGGAAATATTTAAAAAGTCAGAAAACATTATTTAATTTAAAGTGTGAGAGAGCCATACTTCGGGACGGCCAACGGCCTCACAGAACACCGGCTTGAAATAAAATTTACGTTGTGTTTCGCCGTGTGAGTGAGGTTACCGAAGGCCCAGTCCTCCCCGCCCTATCCTCAATCCTCCTCTCTCCTCAAATCCCTTATCCTTAAATCCCTAATAACCCACAAGAGGTCGGCAACGCACTTGTAGTACCTAACTCCTTATTACGTATTATTATATATTCCTCCGTATTACGAGTGTCAATGGGCAGCAATGATTGCTTGCCACCGACCACCGATGACATAAAAAAGGCGGTACAAAGTTTCTCCGGTCAGCCAGTATAATAATATTGTTTTAAGTTTACGTATTTATTTTGATACATATTCAAAAGAACTACTTAATATCACACACATTGTTTTCTGAAACCTCTTCTTAGAATATCTAAAAATACACGGGATAAAATCATTTTTCTCTTCTAGTCGTGACTGAAAGTTTGACGCGATACGACCGTTAAATACTTAACCTCAAAATTGAAGCCTCTCTAAACACCACTTGAGGGGTTAAAACCTCGGCCTAGTGGGGTCATTGCGGGGAAACAAGCATTTTACAGGCACATAAACAACAATAAAATTAAATGAAATTAAAACTTTTTCCAATCAAAGTACCTATTTTATTTTAAAACTACTTATTCTCGCACGGTTTAACCCTCTGCTCGGCTCCAACAAATAGTACCGTGGTGTTTTATAGCCTTTTAAATTATGACGGCATACGTCATAATTTGCAGTTTCATAGAAAATAATAGTTTTTGACATTTCAATAAAAGTATTGAATTTGACTAGTTGGAAACTACAGGATTGTCCAGAGATGTAATCAGCCTTTCAGAAACCGGGTGTTTGTGTTTGGCCCTGATTCTCTGTCACACCACGCGGTCCACAGTTCGCTTTAGATAACATAGGTCTAAAAATATAGATAATAATACTAAGTAAACTAATACCTACTTACTCAAATATATGTTTATAGATAAAAAATTGATATGATTAATTGAAATGGGTCATCTGCTATGAAAGTATTAAAAATACAACGAACCCTCACTTTATCTTTAGACTGGTGATTTTTAGACTTTGTAGACGCGTTTGATAAGGAATGGGTACCGGATAGTGTTTCTATTTACATCACGCCACTCAGTTTCGACTAGTAATATTTTAACATACATATTGATACGATACCGGAGAACAGTTACTTACTTCCAATACCTGTTTCCGCGCGTTACACTCCCTGCTCGGCTCCTTCTGGTCCTAGGGTGATGTTTCATAGTTCATAGCCGTTCTGCATAAAAGGACTGTGCAAGACAAAAAGGAATTTTCATTTCAAACTAGTAGTTCCTTAGATTTGCTCATTCAAACTTATTCTTCAGCTTTATAATATTTCTATAGATCCATTTTAATACAAAATCGGGCAATAAATACTTACTGATGTACTATGTCGTTGTGGCCCGGAGGTTGAGGAGCCCGCTTCTCATGCATGAGGGTGTGGGTTCGAAACCTGGCAAGTACCAATGTGACTTTTTCCGAGTTATATGTACTTTCTAGGATTATTTAGACACCACTGATATACGGTGAAGGTAAACATCGTGAGGAAACCTGGACTTATAATTTATAATTATAAGTTTGAAATCGCCAACCCGCATTGAGCAAGCGTGGTGGTTAATGCTCAAACCTTCTCCGTGTGAGAAGAGGCCTTTGCTCAGCAGTGGGCACTTATAGGCTGATGATGATGATGATGTATGTGTGTATGTGTGAAAATTATAACTCTGTAGAAGGTGGTTCAACAGTTGTTTGTTTAAGCTAGGCCCTACCATCTTGACTTAAATACTAGATTTCATGCTATTTTTTTTATGCGTCAAAGCATTCAGTGCTACTCTTGTATCCGCAACACCTGAATAGGTTACGAATGCGTTGCTGGCCGTTTGGGAACTAAGGTTTTGGCAATCTAGGGGTAATGGGAATGGAAAGCTTAAGTCTTCGATTACACTGCTCACATTGTGTAACCCAATGCTGTCACTTATGTTACTGTGAAATTTGAAAAACGGTTTTATTTTCTCAACCGTGTTTGCCTCGTCCAAATCTCAGGTCTGGTGTTTATTTTAGATTCTGACTAGGATTTTGAACTAATATTTCATATTTCGAGTCCTCGAGTATTCGTTTTTTTTGTGGTATAAGTCGGCGAACGTGCAGACGGATTATCTGATGGTAAGCAATCGGCGCCGCCCATGGATACCCACAGCACCAAAGGAGTTAGGAGTGCGTTGCCGGCCTTTTGGGGATAGGGGTTGCGGATGTAAGAATCGGGAAGGGATAGGGGAAGGGGCGGGATTGGGCCTCCGGTAACCTCTGTCACACGGCGAAACACAACGCTGTGGTTGTTTCACGCCGGTATTCTGTGAGGCAGTGGTATCACTCCGGTTGAGCCGACCCATTCGTACCGAAGCTTGGCTCTCCCACACGATATAATTCGTTAGAAATAATAACAAAAACATGTTTGCCTGTGAACTTTATTTAAAACAACAGATTACAATGAGATTATTAAATGTGGATCAATTCTAATACATGGCGATATTCGTAAAACGTTCAACATTTATATCGAAAATGACACAAGTTACATATAGGCATTGATCGAGTACGTATAGACGACTACATAATTACGATAAGGATACAGTTTCCATAAGCATTTGTTATTTTTGAATACCAACAAAATAAACCTAATCTTACCCGCGCTTGTAAATTTTGAATAGACCAAAAAGTTCCATATTTATGCAACTTTGTAGGCGTCTTTAAGGTTTTATATCTACAACTTTTTCACTCTATTTCAATAATAGCAAATACTTACAAGAAATACTTATAGTGGTAATACTACACTAATGGTTAGATACACATACATCCTATATTGTCTAACTAAAGTATACGCAGACTGCGTTTTCAACCGACTTCATAAAGATAGGTTACTTTTTCTACTAAGTCGTCCTTACATTCCAAAATTAGTGCCTTGTCGTCAGTCCTTTTTGTATCAGCTCCACAAATGCTTAATCTAATTCTACAAAAGCGACAAATCACACAACATTTATGATTACATTTTAAAATAATTTGATTGTCTATCTCGGAACAGCTGTTTCATTTACTGATAAAATGTGACCAACACTATATTTCTAGGTAGAGTATTATGTGCGAATGTTTTGGCACTTGTTCATAAATAAAAAATATCTAGTTGTCACACTGATTTATACATGTGTCGATCTTACGCGAAAAAAAATCGCATAAGCTGTTGTCTAATTATTTTGATAAATACTACTGCAAAAGTGATTATAATTTAACACATTAAAAGCTAGTGGGATTCATTGAATGCGTACACTGGTTAATTGTGCTTGACTATAGATAACTGCTTAGCTCAGCTCCGTGGATTGCCTATACTTCTATAAAGTAGCGGAACAGCGAATTAACCACAGCTCTGAAGTTGCCCCTGCGTAGTATAAAAATGTGCACCCCCAACGATATTAATGTTCGTAAATCTGATTCTATATCCAAAGGATTATATGGACAACGAAGGAAAGCAAACAGCTTTTTCCTAAATGTGGAACCAGCTTCCTTAGGATTAGAGACAGGATATTCAGGGGGAATTCTTACCCATGATGGTAGAAAGTTAGATCCCGATCCTTCTTTAGAGATAGGAGTTGCAGATTTAGTAGATTTTGGTGCACGATGCCTTTCAGGTGTTGTGGGACCCGTTGCCGGTCTGGATGGAGATGTAATTGAAAGTATTGATGCTAATTCTTCCGGAGGTCTTGTGGCTCCGTCGGTAGGCGGTCGTGCAGATAGACTCACAGATTCAGTGACAGGTTTCCTTCGCATTTCTGCTTCAGTTATTGTAGAACTCGTTCCTGGTTCTGGTAGAGATACTGCTGTGCTTCTTAATACTATTTGGTTTGGGTCGATTTGCTCTTCAAATACTAAGCGAATAAACTTTACCTAAAGAAAAAAATTTTTGGATAATCATTTCTAAATAAGGTGAAGACAAAGACAGGGTGTTTAAATGTCAATACTCGAAATGATCGTGATGGTTTGATAGCAAAGTTTAGCGAATTGTAATTTGTTATTGGGGTTGTTAATTAAACTGTTATGTGCATGAGACTCATCAATATGAAACAAACAGTATATTGCCGTGTCCTCTCTTCTCTGTACCACCAAATGACAGACCGGGATAAAATGCCCATGGTATTAATTCCACCCATGGACATCTTATGTGTGCATAAAATAAAAAAAATAAATGCACAAGTGGGAGTGGAAAGCAAATGACCTTTGGTAGGATTTCTAGGTTGAGCAAAGAGTTTTTCGGTTTTCGGAATCCTCAATAATATCTCGGAAGAGGAAACTATGTGCAATGGCAATTTGGGTGCTACATTTTGATGAATGAAAGATGGTGTGTTATTTTTTGATGAATAAAAGACGTAATGGTATTGTTATATACCTACTCCTGGGTTAGGCCAGTCGGCCGTGTCTTGTAATTCGTCGAGCTGCAAAGAGCGATCGCCAAGCACTGTCGATAGGGGTGATGAAGACCGCAGTATGCTGCTGAAGTCAGTAATTTCGGAGCTCTCACGCCTCGCCGGTATCTCATACATCTCAGGGATCACAGGAGGAGTTTTGATGAACTGCAAAGAGGTAAGGAACTATAAAAGGTGTATAGCTCCATCCCTCTTTCTCGCCCGAACGATTCACGCTTTAACACGTCATGGTAGGCCCTCAGGACAGTTAAGTTTTCAGGATTTTGGATGCGTCCCACGTTTTCTTCTAGATGAGAAATCTCAAGTGAAAGGCATATAGTAATGAATTTAAAAAACATTGCAGTCGTTTTTGAGTTTTTAATTACAAAATGACAAAGGCGTAACACTTCTACACAAGGATAAGGGCTCTTTCTCGCTCACTGGTCTCCCTACACCGATACCCGGCGGCGAAGGGAACTGGCACGTTAATCTACTAGACAGCCACCAGAAGTTAGTGAAATGATACTACGAGTTTACCTCAGTAGGTACAGCATTCTCTAGCAGAGATTTCCCCACTCCCTCAGCGAAGCAAGCAGGCAGGAAATGTTTACTGCAAATTCGGGAACTCCTTTTCGCAGACCAATACCTGCGTCCGGTGGCAGCCACACAGAGTTTGCGATATTTAGGCTTTCTCGGGAATCTGTGAAAGAAATATGATTATATGATTATTTGGCAGCTTTTCTTATTATATAGCAAAGCCGTAGCTACTTGCTAATTGATTAATCAACATCATCAGCCGGAAGATGTCCATTGCTGGACAAAGGCCTCCCCCTTAACTCTTTTCCACCATTTGTATCCATTGGCTCCCCGCGGCTCTGATGATATCGCCTGTTCACCTAATTTCTGACCCATTGGTTGTTCATCCTTTGAAACATGTGGCCCAATTTGCAGATATTAAGTGCCATGTTGGTTCTATAGCGAATTATATATCACATAATACCACTCGCATTGTCGCGCAAAGTAAGCAAGCTACTAGAATAGGCTGCAAAAGAGGAAGTATCTCTCTCTCCCTCTCACAGAATAAATGAGCGTGGAGGGGATATAGTGATACTAATATATTTATGTTTCGTCATATCGGATCTCTGCACGCCACAAGTAAATTAAACAGTTTTCTTAATTGCCCAATAGCAAGCAATAAATTATTATAAAAAATGTTATTAAGTATAATTTATTAATTTCTAAAAACTGTTGTTATCATTTAAGCATTTAGTACATAACGCAGAAAGTAGAAGATTTTTAGACTCACTAGTTTATAATAAAAATAAAAAAATCGGCAAATTTAATTACGCATTATGTGAAACGAAATCTGCTACGCCGCTTTTCATATTCATATGCCAAAAGTATTCGTAAAGAAATAATAGGTGTGTACGGTGCAAACAATAAAACACTCAGTCAAATAAAAATTGAGCTTTTTTTCACATTTTTTATAACCCTACGAACCTAATCTATAGCTACCACTAACTTTTAAACTTTCGCGTTTCATATTAATAACATATATTTACGCGGTTACTATACCACGACCTGCGCAACCGGGTCGAAACGTCAAGCCTACCAAGGTATTCAAATAATAATTTTCCACGTAAATATATGCTATAGCTACCAGTCTATAAATATAATAAAGAGACACACAGACGCCTACATTCTACAGGTGTGGACGGAAATCATACTTATGTATACATAGCGTCCTACGATCCGTAAATACTTTCGATTTATCCAAATCAATACCTTTATTAATAAATTTTGATATGTCTTAGGGCTGATTTTTCAATGGTTTGCATGCAATTATGATGTTGTCGCGTCAGAATGTTTGTATAAGACAGTGACAGCAACAATTTTATTCCTCAGATAACATTTATGTGGCTATTTAAAAATCAACCCTTAGTAAATTAATATCAAAGTGAAGACAATGCTTTGAGCCTTTTTAATCTTAGAGGGATCTCGACACCCACAACCACTTGTAGGACAACCAAACAAACAATACTCTCAAACATTTCTTTGACGAATAAAACAGAACTTACCCAAAAAAACAAAGTTCTTCATCACCTTGATCGCTTCTGCTGTCACAGTCAAGGATACTGCATACTTTCGGTTCCATTATATTATCAGACGATTGATTCAGATGAAAGATACCTGCAATTATTTTTTAATACAAGGTCCCATAATACAGCTTGTAAAACTGTTAACTTGCTGGTCCTACATCAAATTACGAAAGTACTAAAAATACATAAAGAATATTCTATATTATTATATAAACTAGCTGGCGCGGCAAACGTTGTTTTGCCATTTAATTTAATATTTCGAAAAATTAAGTTAAGGCCAAACAACCCTTATTATCACTTAACCAACTATGTGTATAGTTTTGTCGGACATTATTTACGTGGTAAAATTTCAAATGTACCTATTTGATTAATTAATAAATAAAGATAGGGGTATGAAAAATAGTCAGTAGCCGTTTCGTTACCGATACTTGTTTCTTATCATGTATAGGCCCCAAAATGTAAGCCCTAACTCGCTCTATAAATAATATGACACGCGATCGATGACAGATGCACTATGTAACACTATTTATCTCCCTTTAACATACGCAGTTAATATTTCCGTCCTTATCAGGAACGAGAGGGTGAATCAATCACAACCTGCATTCGCTGTAGGCGGGAATGTAATAAATCAATATCAGGACTCAATGTCCTCCCTTTTATTGTTAAGACTAATTAATTAATTAAGCATTCCCTTATACGAGCTCAACGCGAAAAAAACGCGGACTACCAAATGAAACTTTGAACCTGTATTGCAACGCAAATACAATAGTTATTCGTATTTAAATCAGTAACTTTGTTAATACACTCAAAAGTATAAGAAATTATCCCTATTTGAAGTCTAAAATAAAGCAATTTTCAAAATAAACAAATCTTCGACGCCACAACATTAGACAATAACAAAAATAGTTACGTTTAAAATATGGCGCCCGTAAACCGATCTCAGGGCCCACCGTCGACCGACTAACGCGTCCTTCTAGGTTTCAGCCCACAGGTCTCGGTCTGGATTCGCGCCTGCGCTATATACCTTAGTTACCTATTTATTTTTAGGTCCCTCTTCAACTATCAACCCTTGCAAAACAAGCGTGTCATTGACAGACTGCTCTTATGTTTTAGCATATAATATGCAAATTGTTGTTTCGGGTCTAGGTGGCTTGGGCATGTGAACACAGGAGTCGAGAGACTAAATCTAAGTGTAGGGAAACGGTTCTATAAAACAAGGATAATTTAATAATTAATGTGGTCTGAGGAATAAAATTGTTGCTGTCACTGTCTTATACAAACATTCTAACGCGACAACACATAATTATTCCCCAGATAACTTTTATCTAACCATTGAAAAATCAGCCCTCACAAGTTATTCATGTTATTATTTGGGATCACCGTGTGATGTACGATTCGTATTGATTACAATTTTTTTTTATTTACCATCAATAGATATATTATTAATCATTTTTCTTAATAATCCTCCTTGGTGCCTTATCTTGACCTACATTCTAAAGATATTACAATGTCGTATGGCTTACAAAAATTATTCATGGAATTAATAATTCCATTGTTATGGAATTCGGTTTTGTATTTATAAGCACTTGTGGGAAGTTTGTTATTTTTTTGGCGCAATACTCCATAGTTTATTCTTATCACATTATTAGGAGGGTTAAAAACATTTTATTTAGTTTATTAAAAAAAAGTTAGATAAAAACAATATAAATTACTTTTTAAAACTAATTTTAGAGACGCAATTAATACTATCGGGTTGAGGAAATTTAGCCACAGATTTAGCGTTGCTTTTGCATTGTATCCACTTTTATAAAACCTTTTACGACTACACAATAATTGATATTTATGTATTTGAAATCACGGAGTAAGAACAAAGATTTGAAATACAAAGGCATTCTCTACCAGTCAACCACTAGGGTGATGCAGAGAAGTGTTAATAATAGGTATTTATCATCACGCTTTTATCAGTTGGTTCTTGAATTTAGTTTTATTAAGAAATCTATCACATTATTCGTGACTATTTCACAAAGTTCCAAGGGCGTCTATGTATTAAATTCATTTGGATAAAGATCGTTATTTGAATAAACCAGAGGTTCCCAAAGTTTTTTTTCTCATAGACCACTTTAAACATTTTGCTGGATCTGGTAGACCCCCTGCAGCTATTCATTTACTAACTTACTTTCAAAACCCAAAAAAGTATATGTCTATGTAAATCTGTGTCTATTTTTTTCAATCAACTATGAGTTTTTGAAAAAAGGTGAGAATTTATATTGCTTTGATTATGCTGTGAGTTCAAGGTCAGTCTAAAAAGCGTCTTCATCCAACAGATTCCTACTTTACTTTTTTGTATTCTAAGATTGACTTACAGTACAAGAAACCAATAAGCACCCACTTCGGAGTGATAAAAAGTAAAAATAAGTATTTTCTTGTTTTGTAGCTATTTCTTGTTTTGTACTTATTCAAACACAAAAATTACTACACTTGTTATTATGTTGTTGTGACAGTCTTAGTAGAATCAAAATTTTGATATTGAAATATTGCGACTGTTTTTAAAATAATAATCGTTATTAGTTTTGATGTTAACTTTTATTTCAGATTACCATTGTAATCTGAGATCAAGATCCAAGACTTTGTTGCATAAAAGACACATGGGCAATCGCTTGTCTTGCAAATTTCAAATATTCAACAGTGTACTGTCGACACTTCTCCTTAGATTCAGCCATGTTTCGTATCCATTACAATTTTTTTTTTGAAGTTCCGGAAACAACTGAGTGATGTTTATCATTCGCAATCCTATATATATTAGGGAAAAATCCAACAAGTTCATGCAAGTTCAGATACGACTTTAACTAGGCGAGCGGGAATATGGAATATGCAAGTTTTTACAAAAACAATAATTGCTGAGTTTCTTATAATTTTGTCTTCCTATATTCATAGCAGAAGTGAAACTTTTTATAATAATGTCTGCCTATATTATTGTCTCCCTATATTCATAGGAGAAGTCAAGTCGGGTCACCTAATACATTTTTATAGACCCCCGTTAACGCTTTGTGGACCCCCATTCTTTTTCCACGCAAGCGTAGACCCCTGTCGGGCTGCCGTGGACCCCTGGGGGTCCACCTGGACCACTTTGGGAATCTATGGAATAAACTGTATACAACTGTAAATCAACTGTACACTCAATGTATGCGCTGGATTAGTCCCTTAGCATCATCATTTTCCCGAGCGATCGGCGTCCTGCGTTCCCCGCACGTCTCAAAGACCCAATAGACCACCACAGACGGGGACCTTTTTTTTTTTTTTTTTTTTTTTTTTGTCAGGGGAAAATCATCCAATGACTTCTCCCGCCCAGGGTAAGGCGAGAGAGAGTGTCAGACTCTTACTGACTAAAAACCCCCCCGTTCCTTCTCCTGCTCTGGGCCGAGGTCGCGGTGCCTCATTGCGCTTACCCCGCAGCCCCGGCTAAACATCAGCCCTTTAGGGCCCCGACTGTGGTGGTCTATTGGCTCTTTGAGGCGCGCGCGGAACGCTACGCGCCGTACGCTCGGGTCCAGTTCTGGTCGGGCGGCGAGCTACCCTTACTCGCCGTCCGCAGACCCGCGCTTACGGTGGCCGGAGATCATCCCTCGATCCTCGACGTCCGGAATGTCGCCTTCTGCGGCGGCTGGGGCGCGAGGAGGATAGTTCCCTCACGCGCTCCGCCTCCTCCTTTGCGAGCATAACTGCTTCGCAGAAGGAGGAGATAGCTTCCCAGTTCCTCTCACGCTGGACCATGGCCTCGATTAAGGCCGGGCGCGAGAGGTCGCCGCCGCCGATCACTTCCCTGAGAACACGGCGGTGCTCAACCCAAGCAGGGCACTCCGCCACCGTATGCTCCACCGTGTCCTCCAGGTGATCCTCACAATGACGACACTCGGGCGTTTCCTCCCGCTGGATCCGAAACAGGAACCTACCAAAGCTGCCGTGCCCGGTAAGCACCTGCGTCAGGCGGAAGGTGAGGACGCCGTGGCGTCTCTCAAGCCACTCCTCAAAGAGGGGTCTTACCGCTGCTATAGTAGCGTGCCCGGCCCTCGGTTGCGACAGTCGCTGCTTCCACTCAGCCATGAGATCTCGCCGGAGCTCATTCCGCCACGCACTAATTTGGCGCGGCAGAGGATCCTCGCCCCGGCGACGCGCGTCTGCGCGCAAACTGTAGACGCGCGCGAGCGCCTTCGCTTCCAGATCCCATGGCGGTGATCCGGCAAGGAGGTTCGCCGCCTCCCCGGAGATCGTGCGATATCCGCGGATTATTCGGATAGCCATGACCCTCTGGGACGCGACCAGCGTACGAGCCGGCCGCCGCTTCAAATCCGGCGCCCACACAGGGGCACCGTAGAGGGCCATGGATCGCACAATCCCCATGTACAACCTCCGGCAGGAGGCGTTTGGCCCCCCGAGGTTGGGAAGGAGCCGCTTGAGCGTTAAAGACGTTGCCCCACATTAGGATTTTCTCCTGTGTCGTGGGTGCGGTTCAACATACAATAACAAACATACAATTTCACATGCACATGACACCCAGACCCGGAACAACAATTTGTGGATCACACAAAGAGTTGTTCCGTACGGGAATCGAACCCGCGACACGTTGCACGGCAGCCAGTTGCCCAGCCACCGCACCAACCGTGCAGTCACAGACGGGGACCTATAGGGCTGATTTTCAGCCGGGATTGTGGAGCAAGCGTAATAAGGCACCGCAGCCTCGGCCTAGAGCAGGAAAAGGAACGGTTTTTTTTTTAGACAGCAAGTGTCTGACACGCCTTCCTTCCTTCTTCTTGAAGATTTTTCCCTCACAAAATATCATTAATTATTTTGGCTTGTTACAGGCTTTAGCCAGCAAAAATCCATCATCACTAAACGTGTACAATAAGCAAGGATACACGCCACTCCACACAGCATGTTTAGCGGACGCACCGGATTGCGTGCGCGCCCTCATGTTAGCGGGCGCAGACGTTAATCTCACTGCAGCTAAGAGGTCTACTAGTCTTCTACCAGGTTTGTCGATTGTACTTCGCTATATTAAATGAAGCTTCAAAACTTTAGTTCTTCTAGTCTTTTCTCTGTTCTAATAACGATATGCTTTCCTTGTATGGTGAATGGTTTCTGCTCGCATTCTTAAATAATACACTCTTCGTCTAGTCCTAATTTCACCTTCTTATTTCCAAGCTATTACTTTTCGTTTAGATACTAAACTTATAGTATTTGTGCACGTTTTCCTATGTAAAACACTTAGCAAAATCAAAACGCTACTACCACAATAGTTTAACGTTATAGTTTACTAATAAAATAGTTTAACGGTGACTTTCTAATCCTGTTTTTGGTCTTCTGCTACTGTCTAATTGGACGATGCTTAGATGCTATGCTTTATATGTGCTTGATTCTTTCTAGTTCACTTCGAAGACAACTTGTCAGCACTAAGGAAATCCACCAACATACTTTCAGGTAGAAAGATCATTACGTTTGTTCATTAGTTCCCAAAAAGAAGTACCGAGAGTTTTCTTATTAATATTACCCAGATATTGACGGCACAAGTCCCTAAAGCGACACTAGCGCCACTTGTATCGCATAGACTGGTGTGGAAAAGCTTTTAAATTACTTGCATGTTTTGGTTTTAGTGGTGATATTTAATAATAATTTTTCAAATGTTCTTAAATTGTTTGTCTCGTATTTGAATTTTCGGATACAAGAAAAATTATATTTTGCAGGCAACTGACATAATTATTAAGTACAACCTTAAATATTTAAACTTTACGAAAAGTTTAATGAAAATAACGGCTTACTTAATAACCGAGAAAAGCTCAACTAATTTCATGTAACAACCAAGGGTGTCGATCGAAAATGCTACTTATATTGAATTTATTCTTTACCATAATTGTAGGTATTGTTGGCGATCTCCTACAAGATAACCAACCAAAATTATACCAGCAAGACATGAAGCATGGAGGCACACCTTTGCACTGGGCAATCTCTCGCGAAGTAGTTGTAGCTCTCGTCGATAAGAACTGTGATATAAACGCTTTGAACTTCGATGGAAGAACAGCCCTCCACATAATGGTGTTACGAGGCCGTTTGGAATGTGCTATAGCCCTATTATCAAGAGGAGCTGAACACTCCATTGGAGATAATGAAGGAAACACCCCATTACATTTGGCAGTCAAACAGACCAATGTAGCAATAGTCCAAGCGTTGATCGTGTTCGGAGCCAATTTGGAAGCGAAGAACAAAATGGGGAATACACCGAGACATACGTTACCTACTGAAATGTCAAACAGCAATTATGATAAAATATTGTACGTTTTGCACGCGGTTGGGGCCAAAAGGTATATTCTATGATTTTTTCTCTATTTCTCAGCTATTTTTGCTAGTATCCACAAGATAAGTGTGACGAAATTACATACCCTTTCTCCAGTATCTAAAATATATGTAGGTACATACATTTTTTTCCAATACTTCATTTCTTGTGGAACCACCATCATACTAGCCAATTTTCTTTTAAAATCAGCGACTTTATGTTTCTCTCTAACATGGCCCCTAAATAATTATTTTACAGATGTCCTCCAGAGGTATCAGGCTGTAGGCCTAGTTGTTCAGCTCGTGGTGACTACAACGGTGTTCCACCACCTCCTGTAGCCAGGAGCTCCACTCGAGACCTCGTCAGCCAAATGTTGTCCGTAGCTGCCATGGAAAGAGCTGCTTGTTTTGATACCAGCCAAAAACAGGGACGGTAAGACTCTTATAATATGCAATGAAGCAACAAAAATAAAAAGTATTATCTCCTACTTAATAACAAGAAAGTAACTTCCACTTACATCGTTTGGGATCTAATTAATAAAATAAAGATGTAAATAAGCGGGAAACGTTGTGGAGGGTCCTTTAGTGCGCCGTTGTTCATGGGTGACGCTGATCCCTTACCATTGTTGATGCGTCTGTTCCTTTATCCAATTTCTTCACAAACAATTGAACACATCCTGGCCGAACAAAGCCTGATTATCAAGATCCCCATATGTTATAATTGGTCCACCATAATATGTCGTGGACCGAGTAGAATTAGAAAACAAATAGAAGGTGCCTTCCGAAGGTGACATTGTGGGTGTCGGGTATCATGCAACGATCTTCGCCCACCGTGATCTGTGGATGGCGATCAAGCCATTAGACTTAGGCTATCAAAGGTGGGTCCTAATAGAGCCAATGTTTAGCCAGAGTTGAGTGTGCAAGTGTAGTTTCGGGATGGTCCCCCCCCCACACAAGGCAGGAGAAGATCAAGACAACCAATGACTTTACCTTCTCAAAAAAAAAAAAACATCCATGGTATGCTAGTATTCTTGTTGTAAATACCCATTTTTACCATTCCAGATTGCTCTGCCTAGACGGTGGCGGTATTCGAGGCCTAGTCTTAGTCCAGATACTGCTAAGCCTCGAGGAAGCTGTTGGTAGACCTATCGTGGAGTGCTTCGACTGGGTAGCTGGTACCAGCACTGGTGGCATTCTGGCTTTGGGCTTGGCCAGTGGAAAGTCTTTAAGGGAATGCCAAAGGGTCTATTTTAGATTGAAAGAGTACGCATTCATTGGTATGAGGCCATATCCTTCGGACGCTTTGGAAGCCATTCTTAAGGAATGTTTGGGTAAGTTTTTAATGCTATGTTATGGTTCGAACTTCACAAGTTTTTAGCAGGTAAGAACACGTGCATTGAACTTAGAACCCTATTAATTTATTGAATGCAGGAAGTGGCAGAAGGAGAATTTGTAGTTCAGGTTAACCTGACAAAATATGAGATCAATTTATCGATCGACTGCCTCTTTTAATGACGTTTAAAGTTAGAAATATCGTCGATTCACAAGAAAATGATTGAAATTAATTGTCAATGTGAAAAATAATAGAAACAAAAATCCACAAAGCAGCTTCTTATTTACTAAAATCTAATTAGATATTGCTATAACAGTAATATTATGTCTTCGCTTTTTATAAAGCAACATTTGTATAGTCATGGTGACGCGGTCGGAACTTAGTCATTTAAATGTACATAGTGTCGTCCTTGAAAAACTGACTTAGAATACATAATCGAGGTTGTTAATCTGTCTATGAGAATTGTGTGATAATTCTATATTTATCTCAAAACAATTCATTATTACGCCTTAAGAAATTTTAAGTAAATTTTTTAGAACAACTCTTTGTGTGATCTTGTCTGATCCACAGAGTTGTTCCGGGTCTGGGTGTCATTTGTATGTTTTTAAACTTCCCAATGACACAAGAGAAAATCTTATATATCAAATCTAACAACCCTTGTAGTAAAGCGTTTGTTTGGGACGTGATTGCTTGTTAAAGAACACTTTATTGAATTTTTAGAAATATGGACCTCCGGAATTCTGACTCAGAGAGAAAACCTTAACGCTATGGTTTTTGCTCGCTCCTCATTCGTGCCAAAGCATGGATAGATTTACCACATTTTAAATATTTTTCTCAAAATTACAGGCACAGAGACAGTTATGTCGGACATTCAACATCCAAAACTGATGATATTGGCGTTACTGGCTGATCGGAAACCTGTGGACCTTCACCTGTTTAGAAATTACAAATCAGCTCAAGAGATTCTTGACGAACATAATGGAACTACAAGTAAGTCATCAGTACATTGTATAAAACAAAGTCACTTTCTCTGTCCATACCTATGTGTGCTTAAACCTTTAAAACTACGCAACGGATTTTGATGCTCTTTTTTTTTAATGGATATAGTGATTGAAGAGGATAAATGTATAACAATATCCATTAAATAGCGGAGAAATTTGATATCAGCATTATTGCACCCGTGTGAAACCGGGGCGGGTCGCTAGTATAATGATAAGTTATCAATTGTGTAGTTACTCGTGCTTGGAGATATTTAGTGAAGCTTAAACTATGTAACAACGATTTTATACAGAAAACAATGGTTAAGGATTGATTTTAATATCCATTTAAGGGGCTTACTCAAGTAACTAAAGCCAAATAGAGAATACTGCACGGTTGGCTGCCACGCATCGTGATGCGGGTTCAAATGCCGTACGGAATAACTCTTTATGTAATCCACAAACTGTTGTTCCTAGTCTGGGTGTGATGTGTAGGTGAAATTGTATGTTTTTAAACGCAACCACGTAACAGGAGAAAGTTCTAGTGTCTCTACGATTTTTAAAGAATAAACAAAACAAACTACTCCTGCCGCTTAGCTCCTTTTCGTCGTATCGTGATGTTTTATAACTTCCCTCAAAATGCTCGATGGTATTTCATAAAAAAAAAATTAAAAGAACCTTGAAGATCCTTTGATTGCCAGAAAATCGTAATTGTATTTAGCAGATTTGATAATAGCTTAATGGTTTAGGTCCTCGCGCAGAGGCGGGAGACCAGGCGTCAGTGGTGTCGCTGGCGCAGCCTCCGCCCCCCTCGGAACAGTTGGTGTGGCAAGCGGCCCGGGCCACTGGCGCCGCGCCCTCGTACTTCAGAGCTTCTGGCAGGTCAGTCGGTGATATTGGTTTAGATCCTCGCGCGAAGCGACGTTAAACATCGAGTGGAAACTTGGCAATCCACCTCAAGCAAGCGTGGCGAATAATATTATTTCTTCTCCGTGCGAGAAGAAGCCTTTTCTATGCAGTGTCACATTTACAGAAAAATGCTACTAAACGGTGCGTTTGCGAGGATTTTAACGTTTCATATACATATTCGACATTTTTAATACAATATGAAAAAGAAAATTACATACTTACAGGAACCCTAAAAACTTAACACTATTTTATTTGGGCAGGCGTGTAAAAGACTCCATTTTTTGGGCAGGCGGGTAAAACACTCCATATTTTGGGCAGTCAGGTAAAAAATACATCGTTGTAAACTGTCTCAGCTTTGGAAAAACCTTCTTATTAAAAAAAGAAAGTTTTAGAATTGATCTTGAATCGGCTTATACTCTTGCTTAAGAAGCAGACTCCTAAATCCCACAACCCACCAACAGCACTGAATATGGCCATATCATTGTTGGTTAAATTAATTTTAAGTTTTTTTGAAGAATATTGTTTACTATTACAGATACCTGGACGGTGGTTTGATGGGGAACAATCCAACATTAGACGTGCTTACAGAGCTCACGGAATTGAACCTAGCTTTACGAGCTACAGGACAAAATGAGGAGGCTAAGAAGACCAACCTTAAAGTAGTTGTGTCTTGCGGTACAGGTATGGGCAAAATATCTTCTAAACGCATTTTTTAAAGCATTTTATTATTATTATTTAATAGGTTGGCAAACGAGCATACGGATTACCTGATGGTAAGTAATCAGCGCCGCCCATGGACACCCGCAACGGAGGAGTTGCGAGTGCGTTGCCGACCTTTTAGGGATTAGGGATTAAGGAGGGATTGGGGAAGGGGAAGGATTGGGCCTCCGGTAACCTCACTCACGCGGCGAAACACAACGCTGTGGTTGTTTCACGACGGTTTTTTGTGAGGCCGTGGTATCACTCCGGTCGAGCCGACCCATTCGTGCCGAAGCTTGGCTATCCCCACACTTCAATCGGAGATGCTTAATATAATATACAATATATCTTTATATATAATAAATAATAAGCATATAGCTTTCTGCTGCTATACGTGTGTATTTTATTGAACTACTCCTTAACGGCTTGGCTTGACCGATTTAAATGAATTTTTCTACATGCCTTTGCCTGGATGGTTTAGATTGACAAACCAGCCCGGCAGATGGCGCTGATTGCTTGAATAAGCACGTAATCTCGATTTCGCTGAAATTTGATATGTGGGGGTTTCGGGGAAACTCCGCTAGTACATTATATCTCGGCTGCACAGTTGATCGGTGGCTGAGTAACAAACTGGCGCGCAACGTGTCGCCTATGCCTGTGCTAAATTTCATTCAGATCCATCCAGTCGTTTTGCCGTCATTGATTATCAATCATCTAAACATCGTAACTTTCGCATTTAGAATATTAGTAAGATTATATTATACTAGCTACTCTGTCGCTGTTTCACCCGCTGCTCGGCTCCATTTAATCGTAGCGTGAAGTTTTATAATAATTCAGTGAAAGAATTTTGGAAATCCGACCAGCGGTTCCAAATATTACCCCCTACATACAAACTTACAAAGTTTACCTCTTTGTAATATTAGTATAGATATATCGAAATCCGACACGTTAAAAGGCAGCCAGTTAATTATTCTGCAGTATTATATTCGTTCAAATAATGATTAAATTATTTCAATTTCCAGGTTTAATTCCAGTATCAAAGTTAAAAGATATTGATGTGTTCAAGCCGGAAAGTTTGTGGGATACGGCCAGGCTTGCGTGTGGACTGTCTGCTATTGGCGGCCTGCTCGTCGATCAGGTAATTATGGAACAGAGTTAATGAGTTTGTAGATGACAAGTTGGTAAAAATACAAAAGACCACCGCTATTGTAAATTTATGACCCATTCAATGTATGAACCTTTTTACCCGACTGCCAAAGAAGGAGGGTAATGTTTTTCGAGTGTATGTAAGTATGTATGTATGTCTTTTCCTTTGTGACCTCCTGTAGCCTAAACGGCTTGATGGATTTTGATGTATGAGGTATCGTTAGATTTGTCTTGATTACGGGAGTGTCATAGGATACATTTTATCCTAAAAGTCCCACGGGATAAAGACATAATAATATTTTTTCTAAATTTCCCTTTAAAAAAATATGTATGCGGTATCATTAGATTCATTTCAATCACGGGAGTAATTAATATAGGATACGTTTTTTCTCAAAATTCCCACGGGAACATGTTAATTCTGCGTCAACGCAAAGCAACTCATGCGTTAGCAAGCAAAAAGATAGGGCGTGGCCTGGCATGCGGCGCGCGGCGCGGTGCGGAGGGGGATATGCTCGAGTATACAGCCCGAATGCGGGCACACGCATAAGGGCACACGTCGTTGACGGTCGTCTCTAAATAGCGATTTTTTCGATATTTCGTCGTCTGACGCGAAACTTATAAAGTATAAATAACTCGTTCTTTTTCTTTCGTGTTTCTCTCTTTAAATTTATTCGTTACGATGGACCAACTTGAGATCCTGGACAGCCGCAGAATTCCACTAGAGGGTCCATTTGCCGATGGAGAGGCAGTTCGAATTTTCCCTACTACGAAACAAGTCGATGCTTATAATTCAGCCATGACTAAAAAGTTGGGCAAATCGTTAAAGCTCTACCAAATAAACGCTGTTGACATCTCCATAGAAGCTAAAACCTACGGTCAGTGCCCTCGCAAACAATACATTTCTGACGACCCGAACAAAACAGGGGGCATTCTCGGCACACTAACTATTGGAATTGGATCTCGCGTGATGTTACGCCGCAACATCAATGTAAACCACGGTCTGGTGAACGGTGCTATGGGTATCATAAGAAGAATTGAGTGGCCTTCTCTTCGCAGAGAGCAGTTAGAACCAGGTGAGTTACCGCAGGCAGTATTCGTAGAGTTCGACGATCGTTCTGTTAAGGGCAATGAATTGGGTGTGGGGGTTCGCATAGAGCCCTCCACTGTCGACTTTGATGCGCTTCGCGGACAAGGGAAGATTGAACGTCGGATGCTGCCTTTGATACTTTGTTGGGCTGTAACGGTACACAAACTGCAAGGTACCACCTTGGATCGGGCTGTCGTGGACCTATCAAACGTGTTTGCAAAGGGCCAGGCTTATGTAGCCCTAAGCCATGTTAAAACACTTGCTGGGTTAGCAATAAAAACACTTGACCCAAAAAAGCTGTTGGACCGGCCCCACGACGAATGTTCTTTAACTGAACTTAAACGTTTGCGGGATCTTCAGCAGTAATGACTCACCTAATTCTCTTTCTTCTTCACTACCAACAGTCCAGATTGGCGGTAAATTTATGTTGCGGAGTAACATCACTCGTAATCTAAAGCCAAATGTCGTCGAAATAATTTAAAATGGTACTTACATATACATAGTCTTCTACATCTACAACATTTTCGTTAAATAAAAACAGCTAAAAAGTTATAAATAAAAAAATTATTATTAAAAAAACAAAATACCCGACTGCACACTAAAAAAAGAGTAAAACAAGCCCCACAATACAAATTTACTGAATATAATTTATAAATGTTGATGGAAAGCATCGCAGGCGGGGACCACCTTGACCGCCACCAACGAAAATTCTGCTAAATGGTGCACAACAGAAATGACTATAAATAAGCCTCTGTTGGTCCCCGCCTGCGATGCTTTCCATCAACATTTATAAATTATATTCAGTAAATTTGTATTGTGGGGCTTGTTTTACTCTTTTTTTAGTGTGCAGTCGGGTATTTTGTTTTTTTAATAATAATTTTTTTTTAAGTATTATTTACATACGTGCACACAAAAGAGACGCAATTATTGTTTTGTAACCCATTTAAAATGACTGTTTTGTTAAAAATGCCAATGAATTATCTTAGTATTACCAGGAAAAACGATAAGAACACCATGACTCATCACCACTAATGTGTAAACGCAGTCCACGTGGACGAATGCAAAATAGCCAATACTAGGCCAAACTCCGCCCCCAAAGGTGTGCGAGTCGCCGCTCTAAAGTTTGGCAATTCTTCTGGCTATGTCGGTGACTCTGGTTCTTCTGCAGACTTCTTCATTTCTGATTTGAACACGCAAGGAAACTCCAAGCATAGCCCTTTCCATTGCTCTTGACAGCTCTAATAAGCTTAAACAATACTAGGATACATTATTTTACTTTGAAGTTCCCATGCCAACCTTCCACCTTCCAGCTTCATCATCACATCAGTTCAATAGTACCTTACATCCAAAGTGCATCTTATAACAATTCTAACAAGCCCAAACACGGCTAGGATACATTCATTAGGTACGCAGTTCCAGTGCCTACCTTCCACCTCCATCATCATCATTAGATCAGTTGGATGATAACATTTTCAACATAATTATTTAAGATCATTGGTTTATAGTGCATTTTCATAGTTGTTTAACTACCTTGATTGTGATATCTATGCGAGTGTCAAGTTTCGTCACCCATTTCTGATCTTCTTCACCAGTTCTAACTCATCAAATATTACTTTTTTACTGTAAATGCTTGAGTGCTCCATGATAATATTAAAATTACTATATAGTTGCCTATAATATTTGAGGAGTTCCCTCGATTTCTCATGGATCCCATCATCAAAACTCGATTTTGAAAAGAATGGGACCAATCTGGAAACATATCCTTTCAATCATAAAAAAAATTTTGCAAATCCGTCCATAAACAACAGAGTTCTGAAGTAACAAACATAAAAAAAAAATACAATCGAATTGAGAACCTCCTCCTTTTTTGGAAGTCGGTTAATAATATAATAATTCCACGGCCTTCAAGAAAACCGGCGTGAAACAACCGTTTCATTTCGCCGTGTTAGTGAGGTTACCGGAGGCCTAATCCCTAAATCTTAATTTTATGATTTTATTGCGTTGCGTTAATCCAAGACAGTTATTCACGTGTTCCTTGAAAGCAGGGGATTACAGTGTTTCGGTGTTTTCATGGTTGTATCTGGTTGTAGATTCTGACTTATTGAAGTTGCAGCCGTTTTGGTAGGTTGTAGAGGGCTTGACTCAAAAACATAAAGTTTTCACTTTTAATTTTTACTAATATTATAAATACGAACCATTTCACATTATATACATTACGATGTTTGGATGTTTTTTACTCAATCACGCCAAAACGGCTGCACGGATGTGAATGAAATTTGGCACGGGCAAAAGTTACACTTACAAAAGCAACTTATAAGTAAAATGGTGTAGATAGGTTACCTAAACATAATTCGATTATTATCAAAAACGACACACTGATACACACTTGAACAATTCGTATGATTAAACGCCAAAGTGAGATGGCATGATTCGATAAACGCGAGTAAAAAGAGGGAACTATGAAAAGTGTGGCTAGTTAGCCACATTTTAATGTATCACCACCTTTTTACTTATAATATCATTGCTCCGGAATAGGACGTAGGCTACTTTATATCAACATACCACGCGAGCGAAGCCACGGGCGGAAGCTAGTTTAAAATATTTGCTTTTCCATTTACAGGCGACGCAATCAGACGGTCGTGTAGTGGACCGAGCGCGTGCGTGGTGTAGCGCTATAGGAGTCCCCTACTACCGGTTCGCGCCACAAATGTCCAAGGACGTCGCTATGGACGAGAAGAACGATGAAACGTTAGTCACGATGCTGTGGGAAGCTCAGATGTACATGTACTCGCATCGAGATCGAGTCGCCGAGTTGGCTGCGTTACTTAACGATACTGACCATGGTAAGTAGTAGGGGTGTTTATCTATTTTTTTTTTCATGTTGCATGAGCCTGATGGTAACCAATCAGCGCCGCCCATGGATACACGCAACGGAGGAGTTACGAGTGCTGTGCCGACCTTTTAGGGATTAGTAGATGTGGCAATCGCTTTTTTTGTAAGGTATTGAATAGAATGCAAAACCGTTAATATAATAACACTTCTGTAATTCATTGCAGAGTTAGATAAAATAAAATGATTTGATTTGATATTCACTTTTCATAAGATAATGCATAAAATAACTTTACGTAGGTTACCTACTACTACTTTGTGCTTCAATCGCCAGAAATGTTAAGTTTGAGGATAACATTGCTATTTTTGGTTAAATTGTTAAAAAGAATGACCCAACCGGCGTTAATTAGGATTGTGTTGTTCTACGCCTTTTGGGTCAGAATCGGAGATTCTGCACTTCCTCGCCCTTTCTCTAATCCCAAAATCCCTAACCTACCAACCTCCAAATGAGCGGCAACGCACTTGTAAATCCTCTGGTATTCAAGGGCTGTGTACCTACCCTCAAGAGACAAGATTGTGCATTCGTCTCTTCATATCTATACTAATATTACAAAGAGGTAAAATTTGTAAGTTTGTATGTAGGAGGTAATCTTTGCACCCGCTGGTCGGATTTCCAAAACTCTTTCACTGATAGATAGCTACAATATTCCTGAGTGCTATAGGCTATAAAACATCACGCTAAGATTAAATGGAGCCGAGCAGCGGGTGAAACCGCGCGAGAGTAGCTAGTCTCAAATAAATTAAAAAGATATTTCTTGTTCCAGAACCAATGAAAACTAATTAATCTGTATCACAATATGTAAAAGCAGATCCGTGAGTACGTGTAGCATAGCTCTTTTAGTCATTAACACGCATAATAATATTAATTAGCTAATAATAATAATATTTTGTCTGACATTCAACATAAATTGGCAGGGTTTAGTTAAGTAAACATTATCTTTCGTACTCAGAGACATTTAATGGAAACTTAAATTATTCTTTAGAAAAGATTTTATTCCGTAAACAGTTGCTAATGACTGAGTTAAGTTACCATCAAAATCGTTGTAACTCTGAGTACGGCTGTGTAAGTTCTATTTTTATGTTATACATAATATACGAAGACTTATTTTTTTGCTCTGACAACTACAAAAAACCGTTAAATTTTAAATTATTTCTTTATACACATTCCTAGTAGAAATACGAGGTATTTAATTATTTTTTTAATTTTTTCTTGATTTATTGTCTGTTAAATACGTAGTATTATTATTTTTTCATCAAATTTTTAAAGGAGCTTTCGAATTATCGATGCTTTTGTTAAGTAGGTATACGGGTACAATAGAAATTTCTGTGCAATATTTTTTTCTTCTTTTCTGTTCGTTTCTTTACACAGCGTTTTCTGTTGTTTATTTATTTATTATTTAATGTTTAAGAATCTTTATTGCTGATGTATAGATATGTTTGTATTTAGCAATTTGTAATGGTGAATAACAATAACATCTAATTGGGTACATCTAAGTCACAAATAACTTATTTAGATTTTGCAATACAATAAAATATTAAATAACCATCACATTTTAGTTTATTAATTTACTAAACCTAATTAAGTAATTAAGAATGTTGTTTGATGCAAAAATGTAATATCACATCACATGAACATGAACAGCGTGAACGCGAAAGTAGCTACTAGCTAGTACAGACGGGGCTGATGTTCAGCCGGGGTCGCGGGGCAAGCGCATTAAGGCACCGCAGCCTCGGCCAAGAGCAGAAGATACGGGGGTTTTTAGTCAGTAAGAGTCTGACACTCCCTCTCGCCCGGCCCTGGGCGGGAGAAGTAATTTGATAATTTTCTCTTTACAAAAAAGCTACTAGCCAGTAGTTATAAAAGTTATTAAGTATACATTGGTGAAGTTAGTCATATATTTAAATATACGTTGCTATACAAGCTACGCACATAATATATTAATAATGTGTAATTAGACAAATTCATTGTAGTATTTCGTATGAGATTATTCGTATATCATAATTATATGTCATATAATGATTCATTCGTATAACAAATTTTCATAATTGAATGTGTAAGTCATTAAAAATGTATATCGTCATAATATTGCATTTTACATTACAAAGATAATATAAGCTATGTATTATGAAATAAATAATACGCTTGCAATGACAGCTACTGTTTTTTTTCTTACGCCAGATGGCTCTTATTGAAATTATTCTTTTATTTATCATTCTGTTTGCCCATTAATAATAAACAAATACTTTTGATCTTTAAGCTTTATTTGAAGATCAAAAGTGCCTCTAAGAGTCTAATCAAATAACAGTTTTTTTTTGTCTTTGACTTTAACTTTGAATAGAAATACTAATGACACCCTATTGGACGTTAAATTATTGACAGCTAGAATAATTGGAATAAATTGCATGATTATAAATCAGCGCCATCTTGTGAGAAAAATTACGGTAGCCGTTAGGTAATATAAACATGAAAACTGTGTATGTAAGAAGCACATGTTTTCACTGATTTCTAATGAAAAATATTTAAAATATGTACTTGTATGTCATTAGATTAATTATACAAGATAGTTATTATGAACAGCGTGAATTTTGAGTTCAATATTATATACTTTTAACGTTACGTACTTATTTGTTTAAGAATTGAGCGTTAAAATTAATATGAATGCTTTTCAAAATTGTTACAAAAGAGCCAATAAAATTGTATATGTCATAATGTAAAATTATAAGGAATTTGCTTAATAAAAAAATAATACGGGCGAAGATTGTCCGTATGTAGACAAAGCATACCCAAGAAAATATACATAAGCATATGCTTTGAGTGCATTTGTACTCCGAATTAAAATTATTTGTAATTAAAAATAACTCGTATTTTTTCATAGTTTTGTTAGTCTATAAAAATTTTTTAGCCACACCTGAATAACTAGTGCTTTACTAAATATATGAAAGATTAGAAGCCGAAGAGAAGGTAGGTATGTTAATAAAAAGAAAAAATTACATTCTAAATCTTACAAACTTTCACATTCTTAATGGATGGATGAAATAGAAGTCTTCTTCGCGCATATGCGGCACTTTGAGCACGATTAAATTAAATTAAAAAATTGCGGAAGGTCATGTATTTTACGTATGGATTTTGTTATTTAATTTTTGTGCTAGTTAAATTAATATATAATTTTGATTCGGAGTACAGTTGTTCAGTTTCAAATATGAAAACATGATATGTGAATTGTTGTTAGTCTCGCTAATCTCTGATATGCTAGACTGAGTTAATATTGTCTTGAAGTTGTGGAACTCCACAGAAGGTTTAATACCTATATAAAACGTCAATTTTTATTTCCATGTAAAACTGCTCTATAATTTAGAGTAGATATTAGACAAGAAACAATACTGACATTACTTAACTTTTATGAGGCGTTTCGGAGTTCGCCAGATCAGCTAGCCTTTATTAAGTCTATGTATGTCCCTTACTAAGTATATTATTATGTACTGTAGTATACATAATATATGTGAAGTGTCGTGGTATATATGTTATTATATTAACGAGAACATATTATGTAATACATTTGCTTTATCAAAATGAGAATTTTAATTAAAATGTTAGACCTACAAGTATTTATTGAATGTGATAACTGTTCTACTAGATGCTTAAGTTGTTTATCCATGGAGGATGGTTATGTAATACTGTCTGATTAACTATTTATTTATTATGTTATGTAAGTTTTATTGCGGTTTCTGAGTTACATAAATATTGCTTAGTTAAACATTTTAATTTTATCTGTATTCCGGCTTTTGCTTCGGTGGTCGCACATTCTGCTCGAAAAATATTATGAGCTCCAGTCGTGGTTCGAAACTCGTTGAAATTCTTCTAAAAGTTACGTGACCAGCAGGTGAAACCCCGAGGGAAGCACTAGTTAAGTATAAATAGGAAAATTTTGTTTTAGAAAAGCATGTCGGCTTGTAAAAGTGGTTATTCTTTCAAATCAATTGCTAAGCAATATCTATCTATCTCAACTAATAGGCCAATAGTATCCTTTAAAGTTTTTAACATTAAAACTGTTCTCAGACCAAATCGACCATTCAAAACCGTTTGTATCTTCTTATCTTTAAAATAAATGAAGTTGTCAAGCGAAAACATGTTTTATTTCAATATAATATAGTCCTATTTTTTGTGAGATCCAAAGAAGTTGACGTTGCGAAGCCAACTGGCGGCCATTGTGTACGGTGCATATGGTTATGAGCCCCGTTTGCAGTTTGAAACTCATCGAGTATGTCTTAGTAAGTTATATACAGTGTTAATTTAGATGTCGATTGGTTTATAGGAAAATGAAACAAAGTTGTTTATGCAAGCTCTTTTAATTTATAATAATATTACTATTTAATCACAATATTCACTAACTTAGGCTTATACAAAGACTCAATAATATCACATTTCTCATGTGGATATTATCAATCCACGACTATATCTAAACTAACTATAAAAATAATAAATTTCTAATTGTCTAAGTACCACCAATATAGGGAAAAATTAAGTAATGGTGCCTTTGTTATGTACGGTAGCTGCTAAGGTTTGAGTTAGTAAGTACAGTCAAGAATTAAAGTATTTAAATTGTAAGTACATCTGACTATTTTGATTTCAACGCCTAGTTTAAGATTTTTGTATCGCATTTTCAAGTTTGTTGCAAAAGTTTTAAGGTGTAAATTTGTATAAAAGGATGGTTTATTGTTCAAATAAATGTTTTTATTTCCTCGATGATACATAAAAATCCTTCACCAGGCGTTTAAGACGTCATTAAGTAAAGTTTTAGAATTGTTGAATCAAAATTAGTAAGTACAAATAGTTTTCCACAAATTGAGATTCTGTGCTAACAAAGAAAATACAGTCAGCACCAAAATAATACAACCAATAACCAAATAATCATTTTCTTACTCTACCACTGAAACATTAATAATAATATTTGTCACTAATTCGCAAATTTCCTAAATTAAATATTTCACTTTCAATAAATTATTTATCTATATTGAGGTACTCTGATAAATATATATTTTAGAATTATCTATAGGAACGCAAATTCTTACACTAAAAGCTAAAACGGTTCCATCGTTCAGAACGACCTGAGCCTTGAACTGGGACTACGGACTTGTTGGCACATCACTAACAAACTAAATGGTATAATTATACCATGCATGCGTCCTTTAATAAAATCATATAAAAGCCGTTAAAGTCTGTAGTCCAAAGCTTAGTTTAAATCGAGAAGTGAGGCACCTTTCTTCTGAAAAACTATTCACACTGCCCACAAAGCTATTTTAAATATATTTGAATATTACACACTGTGTTTTAGTTTAGGATAAACGGATCACCTTACATCCATTCTATAAGGAGTAACATTCGAATTATCTTATCCTAAACACCAAGTGTGGTTATTATTGCCGACCAAAATACACCTAATTTCTCACTAATTTTTTTCACAATTTTGGCAAAGAAAAATTTATGTTGTAAGCAGTCGCAATATAGTTGATTTCATACAATGATTACAAACTAAATGAACAACCTTTGATTCGTTCTATTTTTAAAACAACAGTTCATAACGTCGCTGACTGTACTAATTCTCTTGAGCCACAGTCTTGAAAACGACAAGTTTATGTGACCTTTGAAACTTAAATTCCGCGAAATATATCAACAAAATAAATTTAGCAATTTCAATTTTGCGATACGCCTTTAAGGTTCATTTTCCAATCATCAGATACCATAATGAGAATATATTTTAAGTTTTATTGAATTATTTCGATGTGACATGTTTTATAAAATGAATGTCTTTGATAAAATTGATGATTGGATAATTGAACCTTAAGTTTAATGTTCCTAGAATACTAATTCACTTTTTGAGATGATCCTAAATAATTTTCACTGTCAAAATGTTCTTTTATAGTCGTTAAATATAATCCCTAAGATCATGAAAATTAAGAATGATCATTCCCTAAATTGGAACAGTAAATGTTTATGAAGCATAACAGTCGCGTTCTTTTTTAATTCTGGAAGATCGATTTTTTGATAAAACGACCCATTTATGATACTGGCAGTAAAATATCCAACATGAGCAAGGAAAAAACTCACAGATGACGTATAAGTTTGTGGATCTACATAGTTGAACACAAAGACGGAATAAAAATGAGGTAGGTCTCTCAGCGACCTACTTTTCAAAGTCAGGTAAAAAGACGTACAATACAACCCATTCAACTGAATATTTTTTGATAATTTTCAATTAATTTTCTACAATGACATGTCGAAAATGATCAAAAAAATATGAAAAAAATAATAATTAATTAAATTAAATAAAAAAAACAAAGTAATTATTCAAAAAAATTTGGTAACAGTAAATTAGAAAATAGTAACAAAAATCTGCACCCATATGCAACTAGGTGCACTATTTTTAATAATTTATAAATGCTACATTATCTTTCATTTCGAGACCATTTCACGTTATTAGAAGCCGATCATATTCTTTTATTATCGTGTAAGGAAGCAACGAATTTTATATAAAAAAAAAACTTTGGCACCAAGTCACTACAACTTAACCAATAAAGAAAAGAAGGGAATCGACATCTTGAAAAGAGTATAAGAAGAGGAAATTGAGAGATATAACGAAAAATTGACTCAAATGCCTACATTATAGGAACTATGCTAAAATCAACATGTTTTTTAACATAATTTTTGGACAAAACATATTATTATGTTAATCGTAGTACTAAGTCAATAGGAAGGCACCTTGTGAATTAATTAAAAAAAATACCTACTGCAATGTGAATTTTAGCAAAGTCCCTTAAGGTTTACGTATTCACGATATGCCTGTTCACTTTGAACTGAAATAAATACACCTAAAATCTAGTTTCCATGCACTCAGATTTTAGCAATCATGCACAGCCCTCAGACGGCGCAAAAGATTAATGTAATCGTTTTCCGCGTCATATTCTCATTCCTTAATCAAATATCACATATATGTAAACCTTAGCACAATATTATAAGGAATATTCAGTATGGAAAATAGAAAATAATAATCCTTTTCATAAGGTTATTTCTGTTAAAAATACTAATGGAATTAAAAACACTCAGATATAAAAATTGTAGCTTGCTACTGTTGTTTTTTCTAATTGGTTTCAAAATTATTTGTATCAAAATGTGAATAAATATTACATACAAATTGTATTGTTTGGAAAAACTGTATTAGACTTTACCTCAGTCAAGATAGAGTACAGTTCACAATTAGCACCTTCTTCACAGTCTGATCATAAAAAAGTGGGCAAACTTTTTTATTTCAACCTCAGCTGCTATGTTTAAAGATTCCATGTATTCTGAATAATTCCTTATGTATATTGTGCTTTAGTATTATAGCCAAAGTATTGTACGCCACACAAATAAACCGAAAATGTTAGTATGGATCGTCTGGATACTCCATATTTGCAATTAGGTTCTTCTTTTCTTCTTTACCGGGTTTAGAGTCTAGTAAGGATGGTCTTATGGTAGATCTCGGTTCAAAACACGGCTGTAACAAAAAATAAATAATATTAATTATGATTTCTATATTAAAAACTTATTCTAGGGGTTTTTCCGTCACCTTAGTAGGGATGACTTATTTTAAATTAAATTGTATAAAATACCTACTTATACATATTTTAAAAAGGTTTTTATGTTATTTGTCGTATTTGGTGCAAAAGACAATAAAGTTAGAGACCATTTGTGGATCTTCCTCAATATCCTAATACTACTCTTGTTGTGTTTGTAATATTCACAGAGGTATATTTATATCTAATTACAATTGGTGATTTAGTTAGTAGTTTTGTTGTTAGAGTAAGTATATCTTTTGTTAAACGCGTAGGTATTTTTTTTTTAGTAGCACGATCTTGCACAGGCAACAAATCCATACACACGCTACAAATTTGCAAATAAAATAAAACCCGAAATACCTAAAGTTTTAAATACCGTATTTTGGTTAATTAATGAAATATTTTTTTTCAAGATGATCCTTACTTTTTTTAAACATTTGTATAAAAAATAAATTACATAAATTTTAACAGTTTTAATTAGGTATGTTTTGTTTTAAACAAAATTCTTTTAATATAATTACTAAACTCTAAAAAACGGCATTTAAAACATATTAGTTGAGTTAGTGAGCGTGAACCCAAACCATGCGGGGCTAAGCAGTAAGATCAAAATGTGAACCTTATTGCAACGGCTCAAGGATCAAATTCATTGCAGATGACTTGCCAGAGCATTATCAACCTGTATGGAATGTCATGGGCATTAAAATCTGCATGCTAACATACTACACAAATGTAACACTAAAAACATCTACCCTTATTATTAAAACACAAAAAAATCTTTTAGAAAACGTTGCCCCACTGTATGATTTCCTCCTTTGTCGTGGGTGCCTTTACAAACATACAAATTCACATACACATGACACCCAGACCCGAAACAACTATTTATGGATCACACAAAGTGTTGTTCCGTGCGGGATTCGAACCCGCAACACGTTGCGCCGCAGTCGGTTGCACAGCCACCGCGCTAACCACGTAGTTTAAGTAAGAAAATTATAACTTTACAAGCATTTAAAAAAGCAGTGCTGTTTTTTGTCTATAACTTTTAAACGAACTTTTCGATTCGGTTTGGTCACGGAGAATTTAATAAATAATTAAGGGTTTCGGGGACGCAACAAAATCAAAATCCAAAAGCATCATTAAAAAAATCCGTGCACAACTCTGTCATCTAGGCATTTTTTTTAATACAAACAGTATTGTTTCTCCTGTGTCGTGGGTGGGTCTACATAGTGTTTTAAACATCCTACATACATACATACACCCAATCCCTGAACAAAAATATGTAGACCACTCAGAGAATTGTTCCGTGCGTAAATTATCTTGCTTATTTAGTAATAAACATATAGAAAAAATACTTAAAGCAAAAGATAGCTACAGCATTTGAAACAACAATGCGTCGTTTAAAAAAGCACTTGTGGTTTTAGTATCGCATATTTTTGCATTTTGAACGAATATAAAATATATAGCTATGTATTTATCTTATTTTCCTAAAATAATACACCGAGATCTTGCATTAGGTCTAGGCTTCCACAGCGAACAAAAAAAATCAGTCATATTAAAGCTAAGCAAACACAAAAATTAAAAATAAAATGAGAGGCATCAAACAATTCATTGACAAAATATCAATTCAATATTCAATAGGTAACAATAGGTGGCAACCGATTATTTAGAAAAAAACTGTTTTATAACTACTATAACTTTATGACTATATGAAAATTACATAATTTTGTGCGAGTTTAAGTTAATGATAAACAGGTTTTGCAAATAGTAAAAAAAAATGCAACAATCAATCCTTGAATATTTTTTGCATACAAATACCAATCTTTATGCACAATTGCACATAGTTTAGAAAATGCGCACGAATGCGAATATACGCATTTATTTGATAAATAAGATACGATAGTTGTCAGTAAGCCGCATGCCATGTCTTCCAACATGACACGTGATAGAACAAAGCGTGGCAACACTGCTACAAACAACTGACAGTGTTGCCTGTTATTTAAACAACTGTCCGTTATTATTTGACTGTCTCTCATTTATGCGATCTTTCTTCGGATAATTGTTATTTAATTAGGTATCTGTTGTTTAACTAAAATATGGCAAGTCATGCTTATGTCTTATTTAACTTATTAATTTATTTTGCGATAATTATGCGTTTGATGGATGATTTGTGAAACAAGATTTTTCGAGTTTATTTTTTTATATTGGAGGTTACATTCACGGTCTTTTGTAAATTTTTGTGTTCAATGTTCAATTTTGCTTTCATATATTTTAATGTTTATGATATATGATTGCAAGCAGATACAGATAATTACTAATTTAGTGATACCTATAGAGATTGTTGGATTTTCAATTATTATTATTTTTTGATAGATATGTATCTTAGTCATTTTCTATAAAAAACGAACACTAGATTTAGTAAAATATCTTTTTTTGAGACATTATGTGTGGGTGTGTAATAAATTGTTATTAGTCATTGATAAATCACAAATCATGCCAAAAATGACATTGTCATAACAAATAATGATTTAATTATTTTATGCCTATCATGATGATTGTAAGATTTTTTACGAGTTATTTTGGTAACACTATCTTTTAATATACTACGTGCCGTTTAACATGTCAATTAATACTATCTATCTCATTAATTATAAAACACTCATCAATGATAGTTGTTATCCCTAGGAGTAAGCAGTGGAATGTTTTAAATACGCTTGTAACAATTTGTATTTGAAATAACTATTTGCCCAACAACTTAGAAAGACCTAACTTTATTCCCCCCAAAATTTTGTGACAACCTTATTGCAGTTAATAAAAAGTAAAATTTTAATTTCCAATTAATATTCACAGCTTGTTGTATTTGTATTGTATATATAATTTATTTGGTTAGTTGGTGATATTAACAATTTGTCAGCTGTTTTTAATGTTTTGTCTTTCACTTCCATCCAAATATTGTCTGGTCGATATTTACTGTTGTAAGTGAAGAAGTAATTATCTTTAAGAGGAAAACTCTTTAATATTTTTATACCTCCCAAACGGCTATAATGCTTTTACCCTTATGTTTAGGTAGAAGAATAACTCGTACAGAATCTTATTGACTAAATACCACTTGCGGTGTTAGTCCTGCTCCAAGCAGACACTTCAAAAAGTTCTGTTTCTAGCCAAAAGCAACAAAATATTGAACCAAAATTTGTTTGTATTAGGTAGTAGCGTGGTGTCCAACTACCTCTATGTCAGTCATTTCTTTTGCAAGGGCACGGCCAGGGAATCAAAAATTCGAAAGGATTATTATTTCCCGAGTTTTCCTTTTATTTTTCTCAAATTTCATAAGAACCAAATTTCATAAGAATTAAGTGTGGGAGAGCCATGCTTCGGCACGAATGGGCCGGCTCGACCGGAGTGATACCACGGCCTCACAGAAAACCGGCGTGAAACAACCACAGCGTTGTGTTTCGCCGTGTGAGTGAGGTTACCGGAGGCCCAATCCTTCCCCTTCCCCAATCCCTAAATTTCCAAATCCCTAATACCTAAAAGGTCGGCAACGCACTCGTAACTCCTCCGTTGCGGGTGTCCATGGGCGGCGTTGATTGCTTACCATCAGGTAATCCGTCTGCTCGTTTGCCGACTTATTACATAAAAAAAAACCTTCTTTCTTCTGACAATACACAAAAACAAAGAATACGCAATATTGGCCCAGGCATTGTTGGGTTATGGGCTTACCAGCACATTTAGCGGTTACTTTTTATATGTTTTAAAGAGACAGGTTTGTGCAATACTTACAGTTTCACAAATGTTCATGTTGCAACAGTTTTCAATGGTGATCTCGCATTGGTCGGGCCTCGCCGTCATCGGCGTTACATTCTTGTTGACGATTATACGCTTCTTGATTCTGAAAATAATAATACTGGATTTAGCACATACTAGTTTATTAGACTAGCTGCTGCTAGCGACTTCCCTTGCCTTGCTAGGGCAGATTTTACGTTTTAGAATTTAAAGCATGATCATCTATTTTATTTTTGTGCCTAAAAAATCTAAGCAGTCAATTTTCATGTGAAACTTTTACAAATATAGGTACATATTAAAATTAAATGCTTAATAAAAAGAGCTAGAACATTCCCGACACCTATATTTACGACTAGCAATACCCGCGCGGTTTTATTCGCAGCTCGGCTCTGGAGTTCCGGACGTAATGCTGCATGGCCACAAAAATAATCGTTCAAACAAACAAACTCGTGGGCTTTTAAATATTAGTATATATACCGATACACTGTATGAGACTATTTAACCCAAAAAAATGTAGGAACCTTAAATTACTGAGCAATAAATATGTGGCGTGTTCGTAAAAAATACAACAACACGCTCTTCAGTGTACAAATGTTAAAAATTTTATAAAAATAACAAGAACCAAGTTAATTTGTCTTAGGAAATGCAATTTTATTTGTATTTAATAGCATCTCTATGAATACATGTTATCCAATTGACTTTAAAATAAAAGTTTAAATTAAAAATAGGAAATGTTAAATATTAAATATTAAAATTTTGCAGCAAGGATAGAACTTTGGAGGGCGTATCAATAATGTGCATTGAAATTTAGAATATTTAATATTTAACATTTCCTATTTTTAATTTAAACTTTTATTTTTTTTACGTCATTCCCAGTAACTGATAATTTTCTTTAATAGTAATAATGTTACTATGTAAAATTACGTTACATAAATGCGTAGCCTTGTCAACTCTGTTGATCAATAAAGAGTTAGAAATATACAGAAAGTTTATAGATTTTTAACGGACAGGACCTAAAACGCCAGTGGCGCCATCAGGTTAGTATAAAAATCAATGTTTTAAATTGTTTTGTCTTGCAGGGGCATTGAAGCATGAAAGGACTTCGTTCCTACATTTTTAGCGACTGATCATGATAATTGACTACCTTGACAGGCGTATTTCTACCTAATATGCGCATACATACATTGTGTGTGAGCATGGCGTATCTGCGTTTCTGCAAGTATTAAAACAATGCAATATTTTCTGACGGTTTCTTTATGATGTCTGAATTGAAGGTCAGTAAAGGTTTTGGATTTTAGGTTCATCTAATTTTGTAACTTCAAACTAGAGCTGTCTCGGAAAAATATGATATATGGAGGAGGAGGGAGAGGGTCTACGCTAAATCGAGAAAGGCTTGGGAGGATTGGTGACAAACCTAGCCTAAGTCTTAATTAGCCAGGAGTAAGAATATTAATCATAACAAACCTTGGTCTCTTCTTCAGCTGAAGAATTTTAGTGATAAGTACTACACAAGCTAAGCAGAGCGCACTGCAGATGATAGCCAGGATTATGATGATAGGGTCTCTCACGGAGTCCCAGCCGTCACCGCAGGTCTCTATTATAGCATTTTCCGAAGACATTGACATTGATGACCTTGAAGCTGCTGCAGAATCAGTGTTATTGCACCTGGAAATAAAAATTAACCGTATAGCTATGGCTGAATTTAAAATAATAGATGGTTTAGTTGCTGTATTGCCAAATATATTTTCAATTCACGGATTTAACTAATAAGGTACTGAGATGTATAATTGCTGTTAAGCCTAGCTTCACTGATGAACAGACTGACAGACTTCTTCTCTATTTTGACGTTTCAGAAGTAACTATTTATGGTTTAGTTGTAATAAATGATTTTGACTTTGACTTTGCCATTATGGATTGAAAATAGGCATTTAAGTATGAATTTTTTTTTTACTTACTGGCAACTTGTGTTAGTTTCTGTCCTAACTGATGCTTCTGAAGTAGTCGTAGGAGTAGACGTTGAAGTGGTAGTAGTTGTAAATACTTTAGGAGTCTCACACCTTGACCCTTCAAAGTCTCCTATGCATTGACATTCGCGTTCATTTTTCTCGTTCAGAGAACAGGCCCCATTGTTCAAACAGTAACCATGACACTCATTGACTTCACATCTCTGTCCAGAGTAACCAGAATTGCATCTAAAAAGAGAAACAATTATGAAAGATGTAATCACGCGACGCCATTGTAACCACCAGGACTGATTGACTGATGTTTACCTGCATTCTGGTTTTCCTTTGTCATTGACCCCACAATCTCCTTGGAAACAATAGTTCTGGCAGACTGAAATGTCGCATCTGTCACCAGTGTACCCAAGCGTGCATTTGCAAAGCAGTTTCCCATTAACTTTAGTTCCGTGAACACAAAATAGGCCGACATCCTTAGGAATGTTGAAAGAGTCACTTATTTCCGACTTATTTTGAGGCAGCTTTCCCAGTGCTTCGCATTCCTCGATTCCTTGAATTTGGTCTTCAATTTTATAGTTAGCAGCAATTCCGAAAGGTGTCTCGTTATTGAAGTTACTAATCTGTACAGGCTCCTGGTCTACCGGCGGGTTCTTTGGTAGCTGCCATACGGATTTGAAACCCCAGTCCACCCAGTAGATGGAGTCCTTTGATACCGTCAATGTATTTGGCTGATGATGTATTCCAGTTAACAAAGTTTTTCTGTTCTTTCCATCCAAATCTGCGCTTTCAATAGAATAATGAATACCTTCTCGGTCATCGGCCCAGTACATTTTCTTCGTCTGCTGGTCAATGGCCAAGCTGACTGGCATATAAATATTGTTGTTTACTAAAACCTCTCTTTTGGTGCCGTCGTAGAGAGCTCTCTCTATCGTAGGCTTTGTAACGTTTGTATTAGTCCAGTAGACATACCTGTAATTTACAAAACACGATTAATTTATTGCTTAGTTCAAAACATCTCACTAAATAATACAACCACCAATAGAAACCTACCCCCTACAGCTGTCCACAGCAATGGCTCTGGGGAGCTCATCATCCATCTTGATCAAAAGATTGCCATATAGGTGATTCTTATATCCAGGCTTCAGTGAAATCCAGTATATGCTCCGCTCGTTTGTGTCAGTCCAGAAGAGCAAACCTTTCACTGGATCGAAGGCCAAACCTTGGATATTTTCATATGCTTTCTTTGCAACTAAAGATTGGTACTTTTTGCTTGTAATGTTAAAACTAAATATGGATGCGTTGTCGCTCTGTTTGTCGACGAAGAGTAACATGTTGTGGACTGCATCGTAAGCCAGCGCTGTGAGGTCCCTAAACTGTGAGTCTTCTGTTAGCGACTTTGTTCCATTGTTTAAAAAAAATTCTAGCCGGTCTCCTGACGTTACCGCTATATCTGAAACAATGAAAGAGAGGATTAGATTAATATGTGCTCATGCTGTTTTTCATTACTTTATTGGGCTTACGATTACATCAACAAAGGTAGCGTTTAGTTTCACTTTTCTAGAACAAATCGCTTTTCGAAAGACAGTTAAGTATGATGGAAAAGTAGATGAATAAAAAATTTGTTACATAATGTTGTGAATGCAAGTGCCAATTCTCGCATAGTTTGGCAGCATTGCTTCGCTTGTCGCGTGACTTACGAACGTTGATTGCGGAGGTTAGTTACATCTTACATAATGCCACGTCTAGTTCAAACTAGATCTGCTTGTGACTCAGATTTGTGATGTACAGCAACATAATTGTCTCCATTACTAAAATAAGTGTTGCTATGGAGGCTATCTATGTCGTAATGACATCGCTAATGTTACATCAAGTCCTTAGTAATTTACGTTCATACGCACTTATAGACATACATTATACATGAATGTACCGGTAATGGACAATGTCGAGGTAGGTATGTATTAAATACTATGAACACAACCATGCAACAACATTTCCTACTTGGCTACAGATCACAAAATGCATCAATGATTTATTTTTACTGTACTAATTAGCGTACTTATTTAACAATCAGCGAACGTCATATATTTTTATCATAGTGTAAGTGTGACCAAAATATCAGCAAGACTATTAATATACTAAAATTAGCACTACAACAACTTTGCCGCGTTTAAGATTTTGGAGTAAAACAAAAAGACCTCCTCATCTATATTTTTTACAAATTTGATAGAAAGCGGTGTAGGTAGCAGTTTAGTAGAGTGCACTCTAAAACTTAATGTCGTAAAAGTTTAATGTTAGGTAATTATTTTATTACCACTACACTATAAACAGGTTACTATTTACTGTGCCATAAAGTCACTGAATGACAACCTAAGTAACATTAGCAGTTTTACGTACATAATTATTAAATGATATGTATTTATATCTTATTGTAAAGGTGCACCTATTGTTATTTCGGGGCGGTAGACGTCAAAGTACGTTGCTAGCTTTTAAAGACGGGACATACGTACATATTGTGAATTAGGCACTTTAAGATTTAGATATTGATAAAGAGAGAGATAAAGATATGGAGTATGGGCGAACTGGAGGAGAATCATAGACTGAAAGTATATTTTTTAATTTTCTTGTCCAGAAAGTAGATCTAAAGCGAGACTCAATGTATTTTCTATTGTATCTGATAATGCACCGACAGAAGAAAGGTTAAATGGGATCTAAGTTAGGGACTGGTTTTGTGATGACGCGTATCTTAATATTTACTACCAGATCACTCGTTTCCTCATTTACATAATGCAGTTTAGGTTTTATCTTGACGTTGTTGGCAAATGTCCTGACACTACTTTTTTTTTTTTTTATATGTAGTAGGTCGGCAAACGAGCAGACGGATTACCTGATGGTAAGCAATCAGCGCCGCCCATGGACACTCGCAACGCAGGTGTTACGAGTGCGTTGCCGACCTTTAAGAGATTAGGGATTTGGAGATTTAGGGATTGAGGAGGGAATGGGGAAGGGGAAGGATTGGGCCTCCGGTAACCTCACTCACACGGCGAAACACAACGCAGTGGTTATTTCACGCCGGTTTTCTGTGAGGCCGTGGTATCACTCCGGTCGAGCCGACCCATTCGTGCCGAAGCATGGCTCTCCCGCACTTAAGCCCACACTTTAGCGGTATTTCCAACTCGATTAAAATCTTAATCCACGTCAATTTCCAGTAATCCAGCAGTATTTCCAAAATGTTTGCGGATAATATAAACGTCATTTAAACATAGATTTATAGAATGTTTTCCTTCATTTTGGCAACTAACCGGCACATATTAAGTGAACCATGAGGTTTCTCACAAGTTGTCCTCCTTAAGAATGTAGATTAATTTGAACTTTGGGACAAGCAAATATGTACGTCCATTAGGGGACCAACAGACATATTTTTTATTTTGTTTGAATTACTTTTAGAAGTGCATTTTTATTGCATAGCAAGCAAAAAAGCAGACGACGACGTCTCCCGAATGCAAAATTAAGAATTCTTTTGAGGATTTTCGCACCACTAACACACGGTTTCCGAAAGGCCGATCAATGTTAAAATCCATTTAATCTCTTGTCAAGTCATCTGATTGGTTGACTGAATTAAAAAACAACCAATCAGATGACTTGACAAGAGATTTGAGACCTTTTTTTGTGAGGGGAAAATCATCAAATGACTTCTCCCGCCCAGGGCCGGGCGGGAGGGAGTGTCAAACTCTTACTTACTAAAAACCCCCCCGTTCCTTCTCCTGCTCTGGGCCGAGGTCGCGGTGCCTCATTGCGCTTACCCCGCAACCCCGGAACACCTAGTTAGTTGATTTTAACATTGATCGGGCTTTCGGATACCGGGCATAAGAGCGCCAGTCTAATGAATTCTGACTGTATTATCAGCGTTGTACTTGATTTTTACTCCATTTAGATGGCTTGACTTATCAACTGAGGTATGTAATAAATTGGCCTTTGAACTAAGCAATATATTTCGTAGCTACATTAATTTGCCGACTGTCTGCAAATTGATTCCGCTTATAAAATCGACCGCTATGATAGCGGCCAATCCTAACGATCTATGTCACAGGTCAGAAATGGTATGTTGATATTTTTCGCATAATTAATGTGCTTATGAAGTTGGTACTTTGTACTTTCTTGTATGGTAAATTGGTAATCATATTAACTAGGGAATGTATAAATAAAGTACTTATAAGTAGGTAGATATACCTATAAGAAGGTAACATCGAAACTTATGAGCGTTTACGTGGTACGTGTTATCATTAATTAATTCAAGTTCAAAATTATAAAAACTAATGGACTGAGATTACTATGCAATATATCAAGGTTTTAATATTAAATCATTGTACATTTAAATCGTATTGTTTAAGTAAACAGCTATATCTGATAATAGTTTGTATGGAACTAAGGGGCAAACGCAATGAGGCACCGGCGGGCCTCGGCCTAGAGCAGGAGAAGGAACGAGGATTACCCCCCCTACATACAAACAAACAAACTTACAAATTTTAACTCTTTGCACTATTAGTATAGATTTACCTCTCACAAAAAAAAGTTGGTATCGAAACGAAATAAGAAACTAACTAACGAAAAAATTATAATGCCTCTCCTTGTCTGTTTAGGCTCTTGTGAAAATTGCTTGACTAAATTGTTAGAAGTTGGCATTCATAATGCATTTAATAACAAAACATATGTGATACTTGTACCAAACAAATCAAAATTTTGTTGCAAGCAAATAAATAATATTCGAACACAGTGTGTGGTCTAAGTCATCAACGATCAGTATGCAATTTGAATTTTTCATTTTATTACCTACGCGTTTATCAAAGACATAAATCATAAGTGATAACTGTTTTTACTTTTATAGCAATGTGATGCAACCAGTTGGGTATGTACCTACTTGTTTCATTTGTATTTTTTTTAATCCTAAACTTCTGCCATTTTCAAAATTCATGTATTTTTGATAACACTTACTTATTTGTAAAATCTTCATAAAGTGAGAAACACAACACTGATAATTTTGCATTTGTGAAATAATTTCATAAAGGTAAAAAGGAACCACCAACATATGTATAAAATTTAAATAACAGAATAAGCTACTGACAGACTGACGTAAGTTTGATAAACTAGTAAATATTTACGTTCCTATTGACTGTTGACGCAGATATGTTGAATTTAAATATTAGTAGTTATTACCATTTCGTATCTTAAGTGATAGATAGTCTTGGTAACCAAAAAACTAAATTAAACTAAGACAGGGTTTAAAGACCCCTTTTATGAACGACGTCGAAAAAAGAGGATTTACCTATATATTTAGTTAAAATTAAAAATAATGACTTACATAAATTATGTTGTTTACTTTATTTCTTAGTATAAATGCCATAATAAAAATTCGTTGTCCCATAATACATCTTAGAATCTTCTCAGATGGTTCAGTAACTAGCAATCAAACAATAAGGTGTTTTGTTTGCGATTTCTTTGGAACTCAGCAACGAAGGTACGACAACACAATACTGGGAACGCATATATCGGCGTACGCGCATGTTTACATACTGTGGCGTCATCGGGGCTGACAAATATACTAATAAGTTTTTAACGGATTAAAAAACATTAAACACCAAAAGCTTTTCCGAGTGTGTTTCCGGGCGGCGTGAAACAACCACAGCGTTGTGTTTCGCCGTGTGAGAGAGGTTACCGGAGGCCCAATCCTTCCCCTCCCCCAATCCCTCCTTAATCCCTAAATCTCAAAATCCCTAATCCCTAAAAGGTCGGCAACGCACTCGTAACTCCTCCGTTGCGAGTGTCCATGGGCAGCGCTGATTGCTTACCAACAGGTAATCCGTCGGCTCGTTTGCCGACATATTAAATAAAAAAAATTGAGGTTTCGGATATTTCAAGATTGGGGAGGGATGGGGGCCATGGGGGAGAGGAAGGATTGGGCCTCCGGTAAGTTATTCAGTATCTTCAAATGTCACTGTAGTATGTCGCTATCATCTCTTAAGGGAAATATCATAAGTTGACTGCTGAAGCAATGGATGTGAAATAAGTTTTGAAGAGAATTAAAATTACAGTTTTTTCTACTGTTACAGTCGTACATACAGTTACAAAATACTGGTGTCAAATCTTTTACAAGGTTTTATTGTGACATATCCTACTGATTCAGTATTAAAGTCGCGTCTCAATGTCACAACATGTTCGTGCGCAATTACCCAAAGAACAAATAAAGAAAGACAAGATTGAATCCTATCGATACGGCATAACTGCTATTAAGAGTTCTTAAAAAAAGAGACGATGCCGTCTGCTTATGGAAGCAGACATAGGTTCGGTAAATAACTTCTGAAGTAGAAAAAAAGGAAAATAGGAATAAATTTAACATGTGTATAAAAGTAGCCTGCGCGACGTCGTCGAGGAAGAACCCCTCTGTGGTTCGAAACT